AAAGGAGTGCTTGTTATGGAACTGTCCAGCAAAATTTTAACCATGCTCTCTATAATAAAGCAAGAAGGTGAAGAAGCAGTGTATGTTGAGGAGCCATCTCTTGTGAAAGTGTCATTGTGAAGCATGTCAGAGAAGTGGTCCCTCTCTCTGCAGGGAATTTGATGTATTCTGAAAACCCTCTTTTAACAGGTGAATCCTGAAGAGTTGGATTTCTGAATAGTGTTTTTATTAAGGGAGTTTCTCATAAATAGCTGTTCTATTAAGACAAGAAAAATGAGCTAAAGGAGGAATATTTTCAACATCCATAGCTGCAGCCTTTTGGATACCGTGGATGTAATGGATTTCCTTAAATTAACAGTGTAGGAAGTGTTGCAGAACACACTGAAAATAGTTTTTCAGTGTGGCAGTGCTGATTTTGATGGTCAGTTCCCCCCTGCCCCAGGTTTCTAGTTAGAAGTTCAATACTTCTGAACCTTCAAAAAGGTGTAGCCTCACTAAACACCAGGCTTCTATTTTATGTGGTTTAGCAGTCTGAGTGTGTTAATGCCAAACATATCTGCCTGGATATCTGTCACAGTGGGGCTTCTAGAGGAAATGGAACTGGTATGCTGTTCTAATTCTTTGTGTTTAGGACAAGGAATAACCCAGTCTGTCAGGTTTATGCTTACTTGTGTTCACTTAGGATGTCATCTACCTGCTTAGGTAAGTGATGGCTTCCTTAGTGAAGGGACGAGGTGGTTGAGTTTGCTTTGAAGTTGGAAATAGTATTATATGTATGATCAGTTGTTTTGGGTTTTTTTTTTGATTTTGTGTCTGATAAAGACTGTCTCCATGCTAAATGAAGGGCAGTTACACATTCTTCATTCTGGCAGACTCTGCACATTGTGGGATATTTCCTCTTGTGTACTGTGCAATATATACAGTAAAGGCACATGGAATTAATTTTTGTTGTGAAAGCTGGATGTTATGATATTTTCATAATTCCTCATCTGCCTCCTTGTTATCTTTTTTTATTGTTTAAAAAAACATTTTCAAATGAACAGACAGATAAACACTATAATATTCATAGTGGCAAACACAGTTTGGCTTTTAGTGATGCCTTGTGTCACCTCATCTTTAAAGTCCAACACTATTCTGCCTAGCTGTTATGGTAGGTTCATTTTCCTTCACCAGTCTGCATCGCCACTGAGGAGGAATAATGATCTGCTGTTAAAAGATCAGTTCTTCAATCAGGTTCTCTCAGTGCAACACTATATGAAAAGTTCGCAAAAGTACCATGTGAATGTTTGGTCGATGTTTTTAAGGTTTTCCTATTTTAAGAAAAAACTAATAAAAATCTTTATTTCCAAAATAAAAGCTTTGCTACCAGTGAGGGGCTGTTCTTGCTTATCCCACTTCTGACATAAGCTTCAGTTGCCCTGTTGTCAGTGCCTGTCTTATCTCTGTGAGCTTGTTTAGCTATAACTGAGTTAAATTATAAACTCCTGGGTTTTTCTTCTGGATAATTTTTTATCAGTTTAGGGAGCTGGCTGGATGAACTTTGCAGCTGGTGTGCAGAAGAGGTAGGACTGCAGTGGGAGAGAATGAACTGCTGCTTCCAGTAGCAGTGAGCTGTTAAATAGGCTCATCTGTAAAACCTTTACTTCAGAGTTTAATTTGCTGATAGGAATAAAAGGGAGTGAACTGCATAAATAACAAGTTCTACTCTTCGATATAAATCAATATAAATGTTGTCATGAATTGAGTAATAGGAAAGAGTTCGTTTTTGAAAATTGATGCCAAAGCCAAAAGAGTGTCTGAGATTTTCAAATTCTTTCAACTTTAGCTGGAACTGGAAACAGATTTTTTTCAGTAACATTGGTGATAGGTCATGCTGATGAGTCCTAGACTTTCCAACACTGAAAAGAAAAATCAATACACTGAAGCAGATGCTTGAGCTTAATATAAAAGCTGCATTTTTCTTGTAGTTTTGTATTCAATTGGCAGTTTGAAGAGAACTGAAGCCCTTCAGACTTGCCTAGGTGTGTCTAAATCTGGCTTTTTAAATTTACCACTGTAACGCAGAAGTGGATGCTGAAATCCAAGAAGTTACACAGTAGTCTCACAGGTAAGCTATTCAGGGAAGCATGTAGTTTTACTTCATATGTCTAAAGTTAAACAACATTTTGCTCAATTTGTGAGGGGTGCTACAACATTGGAAGATGTGAGAAATGAGGTCTTTGTTGCCTGTTCAGACAATGAAGATAAGTGAGGGAAGGAAGAAGAAGTTACAGAATTAAACCATCCTAGAATTGTGATATATGGGAGTTGTGCATGTCTGAAAATATTAGTTGTGATTGAATAGGCGTTTGAAATGTTAGAGTACCTGGTGAAGGTTAGGCATCTGTAGCTGACTTCAGCTTGATAAATAGTTTATGGTAGCTAATCCATTCTGCAATATGTGAAGTGTGTGTATTAGTTACCTGGTTATCTGTATAATCTTATAAATCATATTTATAGGCATTTTGGTTTAGCAGGGAATTTGTATCCCTTCTAGTTTCAGTTCAGTAATTACAGTAGCTTAATTTTAATGAGCGTAGGCAGTATCTTTTATTCTTTATTTCCATGATGTCAGTTGTTGAGATGGACATGCAATATAGTAAAGAGACTATTAATATTCTCTCACTCTTGTAGCCAAAACCTCTGGAGATTGTTCAGAAAAACAATGGGAAAGGTTATATAACATGGTTTTAAAGGGTTAAGAAAAAAAAAGGCCGTTGCCAGGTTAGTATGGGATGAAATCCTAGTCCATGTTAATTTAAGTTAATTTACTTTGTCAGTTGCTTTCAGCTATGAATTGTTGGAAGCAGGCTACTCAAGTTTAGAGAAGTAGGCTACCCTAGTTCCCATGCAGTGTATTTCTTGCAGCATAGGGAAGTGCTTGGACATAAAATGAACAGATAAAGAACTGATTACTCTGTAGTGTCAGTGAAATGAAACCTCTTGCACCAGTCAGTTGATTACATAGGGTTTTTTGCAGGGTTTCAGGATTGTTATTGTTAGATCTCTGAAACAAGATGAGTTATTTTAAAATAAGCTATTTCTCTCTATTCAATAGAAATAAATACTTCTACTTGGGTCATTTGCTAAGATTTTATAAATGAGAATTGATGAATTACTGTAACTTATGTTCTGTTATCCTCATACTTTTGACATATTATTAATCATAAAGTTTAATTTATTGAATTTACCAAGTCTCCTATTTGTCATTAAATTTAAAAGTTAAAGAGAAAAAATGGTTTAATGCTGGAACATTTATCACAAAAAAATGCTGTGTGGCTGATGTTAAGGAGTAGGAGAGCATCTTCATGCTGTTATCTTTTGCAATTACAGTTGTGCTGTAATATGCCTTGTGAGAGAGTTTGTTATGAACTTATGCTGTTAAAGGAGTGCTGCTCTGCATTTCAGATCAAAAATATTTTTGTTCATTTGTTTATGACTCTAGCCTTAATGTCTAATGGTTGTGTTCATTTTAGACGTTTATCTTGAGTCCACATTTAGCCACAAGCATTATGCAGCTCTGTTAATGCAGAAATAGAGATGGATAGCAGTGAAAAGTTGGACTGATCAGCTTTGATGAGAAAGATTAGTATGAAAAGTGCTTACGTTTGTTTACATTTCTGGAGTGATTTTAAATTACCTTGTGTGTGTGTGTTCCCTGTGAAGTTAACAGGGTCCATCACTGCTTGTCTGCTGTATGCAGTACAATTTAGATTTCCTGTGCACCAGTGAGGTTCATGGGAATAGCCACACAGACCTGCTTTTCACAGAGACAGTTGCCTCTTCAGCACGAGTCATGTTAGTGCAGAGTAAAGAGGTGAAACCTCTTGTGTGTTCTGTATGATTGCATCTTCTGTGTCTTTGCTAGTGCACTCACCTCTTACCGTGAGGTCTGATTCAGCAAATGCTGTTAATAGAAGTCCTTTTTAAACTTCTTTGGAATTTATGGATTTCTAAGTGTAAATTTGAGCGTGTCCTTAATTGGTTACGGATAGGGAATATTTATTGAATTTGGGCCAGAAAGGTCCTTTTTTTTTTTTTTTTTTTTTTTTAAAAAAAAAAAAAAAATGAATACAACACTTTATTTTTACAGGTTTTCATACCTCTTTTACTTCACATCTTCTGCTGAGTAGCGACTTTCATCTCCTGTTGCCTCTTCTGGGTTTCTGCTTTCTTCTTTTTCAGCATTTTCAAGCTCAAATTCCTCATCTCAAGTTTCTCAATTAGATTTCTGTATTGTGATTTATCTGATGAGCAGAGTTGTAGAAGGCAGTTAGAAATAGCAAAACCAAAATGATGACGTCTTCCTCCTGATATGTTATGATGGACATTCTTCTGTCACTGCTGTTTTTAGTTAAATATTTGATAAAATTACATGTAACAAGTCATTTAAAGGCACGATTGTTTTGTGGACCAACACTGCTGAGAAACAGCATTTTTTTTGTGCTTCCTAATGGGTATGGTTGGCTTAAAATCCCTTTTGTCTATTTGGACTGGAACACAGGAGCTGGCAAGCTGCTGGGTGCTGGATGCTCTGCTGTCTCTGTCTCCCTGTGGCCCCACTGGTGCTGCTGGTGGCCCCATTTCATTTAGGTTCTCACCTTTTAATAGTAGTTCCAGAGTAATTGCTTGGTCTCAGGTGCAAAACCATCTTTCTTCGGGGTTTGTGTCCAGCAAAGCGCATATACCCCCTCACATTAGAACCATACTGAAGGCAGACTAAAGGCATGTCTAGAGTGCTCTTACACTTCGTGAAAACTTTTCTCTTATATGGAGCAAAACCTCCTGTAATTACTTGACAGTTCTGAAATGTAGGTTTCTTAAAGAATTAGAACCTGACTTCAGTTCTCTCAGTATGGCAGTTAGGGGTGAGTGCATTTGTGTATGTATGCACTCATCAAAATGTAGCTGTGCTGTACTCGTGTATGTATACATACTTGTGTGTATCTTTTCTCTTAAAGATATGGACATTGGTGGTTGGTTACCTGCTGATGGTTTCATTCAAGTGGAATATAAGCACTGAACGTTACTTAAAAGCTATCTCTGTCCCTGTCTGGATTATGCTGCTCTTTCACTTAGGTGAGTAACAAAAAGTTATTATTCTGATGTGTCCAGTGGGATTCTGTTGTCTTGCAAACAAAGCTACTCCCTTGCTCTTCTACTGAATCTTTGTAATGGAGTCTAGCTGAGGTGCAGGCTGTTTTCTCAGTAATTCTGGCTGCAGCAGGAAGTGCTGGAATAGGGAATGGGAAGGCATCAGGATGCTGAGCAACATGCGTCTTCCACTCCTCTTGCCCAGTTTGTTCTTCCCATGGATTTCCCTTATTTGGCTCACAGACCTGGTACTTATTCTCTGACAGTCAGGAAGGGCTGCGTTCACATGTGGGTGGATTTAGACTTTCACTTGTGATGGTGTTTAATATTATTTTTCTTGAAAGCCTACTGTTAAACAAAGCTGAAGCTGTAAAATGCATTTAATAGTAGTAATAGAAGTAAAAACCCCTTTTTTATCAGTAGTCAATAAGCATGTTGATCTATCAACAATAACAAATAAATTCGCCAGTAATCTGTGTAATCTGTTAATACTAATGTAAGATTATAGTAACGTATTAGTATTAGATTTATTTTACATACTTAGATTATCAGATTATATTTTCAGTTTATAGTGAAAGTATCATGGAAATAATAGAAGATGGTAATGATGGAATGTTTCACAGCATACTTCATTATTTACTTTGCTTTAGCAGCAGGTTTCAAGGGTTGTTCTGACCATGTGGAGACACTTTCCTGAGGTTTTAAGATATAATGGCTTTGCATTTGCTTACATTTTAACAGTCTTGTATTTGATGGAAGTACTGGCTGAAAAAACAGACTCCAAGAAGGCACTGCTTGATGCCAACTCTGTGGAGATCTAACATAAATATAGATTTTTGGGGGGGAACTTCATTTGCCTCTGACATCTAAAATGCTTTTATTTTGTGTGTATTTGAATGTAATTTTGCATGTTTTTAAAATTGTTCTTTATATAAGCATAGTCTAAAGTCACTCAAGTTAGGAACAGTTTTAACTTCCTTTATTATTTGAGAAATTAGTTCACCTGTGTTTTCTGTTCTTCCTTTCTGTGAATGTGGAAAACTTATTTACTTTATGACACTTCTTAGTTTCTGTCCAGATTGTTCTTGGTTGATGTGGTGCCTTTCTTGGTTTTGCTAAATGTACAATTTATTGGTGGTGTAATTTTTCTTGTCAAAAAAAAACCCTGTATCTTTCAGCTTCTGTGGCAGGTTCCTGGAGAATTCCTGTGTTTCTGGTTATAGTTGTTCTGATGACCGTAGGCATGTTGCATGAACAGCAGAATGGAAAGGAGTCTTCTGGTAAGAAATGAGTCACTATTTCTTTTACTGTTGGAGGCAAAAGTTCTGTAAAGTTAAGTGAAAGAATCTGGACCATATTACTGTAAATTCAATATCATGTGGATTACAATAATTTACTATTAGATTTTTAGTATGTTTCAGAGTGGTTTACTCATGCTGAAGTGAATCTTTGATTCTTTACAGAAAATAATTGCAATGGACTGATTTTTTTTTTTCCCATAGCAAGGCAGTGACTCTCATCTGATTGCTTAAATTTACAGAATCTTATATGTAATCCTATGTGTCTTGCTAATTTTGGAAGAAATGAGCAATATGAGTTTAATAGCTGTTTATAATACTGAGTGTGAGAGAAACTGAGACAACTCCACCCAGCAAGTTTCTTATATCCAGTCATTTGGTTTTGGAATATCACTTTCTTAAAACTGGTTTGTGTTTAGGCTTTGAGAAAAATAGGTTGTGCCTGTTGTGAGTCAATTTTACATAAAAGCAAATGTCAGGTGTTCCTTTCTAGTACTAGCTGTATGATTATTTTGGGAAACTTTTTTTACTATCTTCTTGTTCTAGTATTCTTGAAAGTCATCATAATCTTGGTTAGTAAAATTGGTTATCTGGTATAAAGATTTTTAGATTAATCAGTCTGCCAGCAACTGCAAATGACTTGGTTGGTAGCAGTTCATTAACAAGGACAGTGCTAAGCAAATAACTAGTTTTGTGTTTTGTCTCCAGGTGTATTGTAATACTAAAATTAATAGCATTCATTCCTGTTTGATCATGTTGACTACATATAATACATATTAAAAAAAATAACAATGTCTGCAAGTATAATTTCTGTTGTTTGACAGCTTTGGTGGATATCAAGCAACAAAGAAAACATTTTAAATACTCTTCATATATATTTTACAGGGGCAGAGCTTCCTGGTCAGATGATTTCCATTGCTGCTTCAACAATTGCCATGGCAATTTCGATGACAGAAGATGAGTCCAATAATGAATGTTCCTCACAACCCTCAGGTGACTGAATACTCTGTAAGAAACATTTGAATTTGCTCTAAAGGCATGAAATTGGAGGGAATTAAGAACAAATTTCAAAATAGTCCCTATCCTCTTCATTTTGTCCAAAATAGCACATTTATTCTTACCTTGTGAAACAGGTTTGTTTTTAAAAATGTTAAGACAGTGATAATGTAAAAGCTGTCTTGCAAATGATAGTTTACATGACTGTCTGTACATTAAGAAGGCGTAACTAGAAGGGTTGGGGTTTTGTTTGAATGAGGGCGTGGGGTTTTTTTTCCTATTTTTTGTTATTAGTTTTTTACTTTCCCTAGCTGCCTTTTGATTTGTTGGCAGTTACAAGATATAACTGGATTTAAGGACCAGGTACAGACTGGAATAATTTTCGTGTACATCACCGTGACAGACCTCTGTCCTCTGTTTAACTATAGCATGATCAAAGTTTTTTTCTATAGTGAGTTTACTTGCCATTGTAGCTTGACTCATGATACTTTCACTTGAAATAACACAACTAGAAATCTGTAAGAAATGGCTTGGAAGAGTTGCAAAGAAGGTGTTAAATGTCCATCACTGGTTTTCAACTTTACCATCATTTTTCTGGGTAAGCCTTTGATAGAATATGATACTGGAAAAAACTCCACTATTATGAACATCTCAGGAATTTGAAAGATTTCACCTGTTTTCCTGCAAGTAGACAAAACAAGTCATTCAAACTTGACAGAATGTGAACTTGCAAAACTTCAGTTTGAAATTGACTGTGTTTAAGTCATCTGCTTCAAGACAGTATGTTCTTAATATTGTCTGTAATGTGTAAATCGTGCTCCAGAGGAGGAAACATAGTGATTATACAGGAGAGAATGCTTTTTTTTTTCTCTTCAAGACAGGATTTTTTTCTGTTTTTCTAGTTGTAACTTCTCTTGGACAAAAGACAACTGTAGTGGTTTTACAAAGGTGTCTTTTAGTGAATGTTTTATGACTTATTTTCTTGAGACAGTTAACCATATGTTTTCTGTCTTGCACATTCTGTTGTTTTCCTTCACAGCAGGACAAGAACAAATATGGTGTTTCATGTTTACTCCTAATAATAGTCAAATAATTTTTCAACAGTCTGTTGGGAATTAGCATTCTATTTTGTGGTATGTGTTAAGCATCTTTTTGGTCATATTTGGTTTGGATCTTTTGTGTGAATGGTGATGAAACATTATTCTTGTACAGCAAAATATTTTTATCTATAGGTTTAAGAAACTACAACTCTTAGTTTTCCTTTGCAGTGATTTTTAGATGTTATGTTACCTTGCTTTGGAACTTGTAAAGTAACATATAACTATTTTATGAGAAGTGTAAGATTTTGAAAGTGTTAATACCTTCAGCCTGATGAACAGCAGAGTTCAGGAGGAGATCTTCCTTATATTTATTCTATGTTAATGGTTGTCAAGGTTGATTGTCAGTAGCAGTAACAATGCTTATACTGTATTAGATCAATTATAGAACAACCAATGCTCCATGGTTTTACTGCTCTCCTTATGCTTAAATTTGTTCATTAAAAAAACAGAAGGGGAAATGTCTTGATTTTACAGGTTTTTCTGAACACTCATGTTTTTCCTTCCTTTGTTGTTGAATACTGGTATTTAGTGTTGGAGGTGAGGAGTTTAATGATACCAGTGCAGGTGATCTAACTTGTCCTTCCTGATTTCCCAAGAATTTTCAGAGTATACAGCAAATGAGAAGTCTTATGAAGACTTCTAAGTTATGTTATAACTTACGAAGCAAATACCACTGCAGCATTTTGTTAGCTGCCTTGTAAGCAAGATTCTGTTGTCTTGTTGGCCTTGAATATGATAGATACTGAAATCCTTACATGTCATCATGGCTCTTAGCCTCCCTTTCATCGTGTGCTTCTTGGTTTTCTTAAAAATAAAAATTTTCTCTTGAAATTACAGAAAGATGTGGTTATTGATGAAAAGGTACATTCATCCTGGTGTTCCAAAAGAATTTTTCATTAAGAAGTGATTTTCTTAATATCATCTATCTAGTTTCATCTAACTCTGAAGGTTTCATTCTGATACCCTGCTCCATAGAGATATGGACATTTGCCTTCCTGTTTATGCTTCTGTTCATTTTCCTTTTATTTAAGGAAGGGGAGGACAATAATTCAAAATGTTATGCTAGCAAGAAGTTGACTTGACAGAGGACAATTGTGTAAAGAAAAGAACGTGTCTTAAGACAGCCTCAAAAATGTACTTTCTTTGTTGTTTTTATTCAAATAAGGACGATACATTCTGATTTTGCTGAATTCTTAGCTGGGTATTATGTTAGCCATTTGGGAAAGACTGTCATACTTTAATTAGTTGGAAGATAGGTGTTTTTCAGGTTTCATCTCTAAAAATATCAAGAAGCACATGAAATGAGGTTTTACAGACCCTGAAGTTAGTCTAAATTAATATTCCAGTAGTTCTTTTCTTCCTATTTCTGTTGACAAGGCAGTCATGCCTTGGTCTACAGAGCATATCTTGCCAACAAATGTGACTTGTTTCATTTGCAGTTTGGTGGATTTTTTGCAACTTTGTGAACTGGCTTATGATACCATCATCCAAATGTCATTTCTGATGTGAAGGAATCTGTGTTTGTCACAGGGAGAATACTGGGTCATTGGCAGTGCCCATTTAGTTTTGCTTGAAGTGCTGCAGAACTACATTCTGAAAAATCTTTCTTGTCTTTGGATTCTCTAGGAGTTTTTAGCCTCTTTTTTTTTTTTTGTCTATTTTTATCTTTTTCTCTCTCTTTTTTTTTTTTCTTTCCCCCTGTTCATTCTTTTCCAGCTGTGTTTTGCACATCTGCAACAGTCTGCTTAAGTTAGTAGGGAAACTGTAGGAGAATGAGGCTGTTTGGTACTGCTCTTAACATTACTGTTGCTGTTATTTAATTAAGGTTTTCTTCATTGCAAAAATATGTTGATCAAATTTTTCATTACCAAAAGAAGGAGTATTCTCTTTTTCTTTTTTTTTTTTTTTTTTTTTTTCCCATAAAAGACTCTACTAAGGGTTTTGGGGGCAAAAAGTTTTGGATAGCTTTAATCTTGAGGCATAGACTTCAGCATATTAAATTTCCTTGTGTTATCTGTTCTGGCTTTTAGCACTTCCTTCCCTTTGGTAAATATTTGAGTTTCTATTGTCATGTTTACTATGTTAATTTTGGAGAAAAAAGAAGAAAAGTGTTGAGTAAGTTGAATTGACATGACAGTTCTCAATTACAGATAAACTTCTTTCAAATTTGTGTTCTTTTAGTGCATTTTAAGCTGAATCCATTTGTTTCTATTGGTACTCTTCTACTTCATTAAAAATCGATTGAGAAGTACAGGAGAATGATAGACCCTCTATTTCTTATGACAAAACCACTTTTTTTTTTTTTTATTATTAAGGAAAATTTCTATTTACAGGAAAATTTCTGTTTATGAAAAATTTACTCCTGTAGTTTGTATGATAGGGCTGGCCTTCATCTCTTTGATATGTGAAGAAGTGCTCTGCCTGAAGCTTCCGATGTGTTTAGTTGCTTGTGGATTTCCTTCTTTCAGGTTGCATGCTTTAATTCCTCTGGGAATATTCTGAAGTTCCACCAAATATGTTACCAGCAACCAGCTGATGTTTCTGTCATCATCCCAGTGTCTATCAGTTGGGTGAATCGGTGGATCTGCATTATTGTATTCGTGCGGTGGGGAAGTATTTATAAACTCTAAAAGTAGTTCCCCTTACTTGTAGAACACCAGTGTAGATTTCTGCAACAGAGGAGTGTTAATCCAGTGTGTGAGGATGCAGAATTTGTCACATACCACTACTGTACACGTATGACAAATCTGTCTTTTTTTTTTTGTGCATTCTAGCTGTCATGCTTTAGGCTAGGAATGGCTTTAGTGACAAACTGCAACTAAAACCGCATGTGTGGAACATGAGGTGTTCGACTGATACGCATGTAATAACAGTTTTTACAGAGTTTTACTTAGTGTGAAGGAAGTGGTTGGTGTTGATGTGACACAGGTCCAGCAAGAGTTGTGTTCATTGCTAACCTGCTTCAGTGTGTACCAACATAACAAACTGCCTTTTATTCTACAGCATAGAATAAGTTTTCAGGTTTTCTTGTGTGTGTGTTCTTCCACTACAGCTACAAATTTTTCTCAGGTAATGGTGTGTAGGAAGTGTGTGCATTTTGCCACCGGTATGGGGCCTCAATAAAAGTTAGTACTGGTGTTTTCAGGGAGAGAGTCTACATACAGTGACTAAAGCTGGATTTGATGTCACCCATAGTAGGCAGATTTGCCAACTAAACAGTTAAATAAATAAATGTGTTCTCTATACAAGAATTTTAATTTGGACATACTATTTTTGCCTGAAATGACTATTTACTGTTTATTTATAAATGCCTTTAATACATCAGTTCACATTTTTTAATTGAACTTCATGTTTACTAACTTACGAATGGGAGAATGACACCATTTGTTACCCACTAATTTATGCTTGCTGTCATTAAATATGTTACACAAGCAGGTAATTTAGGATCACAGTGTGAGTGCTATGATTGTAATGTTCAGGAAGACAAAAAGTGTGGTAAAAATTTTGTGAGATACAAGCTTTTTTCTTCAGTGTATGCTGTATTTTTTTGTTTGATTTAAATGAGCTTTGAGCAAATCTAAGATTTCTTTTTGAATGCTTGAAGTAAAGAGAAATCAAAAGATTTCTTCCAATACTTTAGATTTCTTTTAGAAGTGAATTACACTTTGTGTTTTTCAGGATTTTATGGTTATTTGACAAAATGTTTGGCTTGTAATTTACCTGCAGTAAGAGGAGGCCTCTTAGAGACTGTAGCATCTTTTCTTCCCTCCTTCTTGCAGCACTGCTTGGCATGGTGTTGCATGATGTGGGAGAGCTTACACAGCCCTGTTCTAGCTTTTCAAAATTCAGATCAGTGCCAAGGCTGTCTGTCTTTTAGAGAAATAACAAGAAAAAACCCAACAAAACAAAGCAAAAAAACCCCCAACCAAAACAAAGGTTAATTTTGGACTGGGGAGCATATTCTGTTCTGTGGTGAATGTTCATGTGATAATTTCCACTTCTTTGTTTGCATTTGTTTGTTAGGAGCAACAGAAGGTGATCAGCCTCCACATGCTTCATCATCTTTCTCCTCCTCTTCATCCTCTTCTGGGAGCAGACAAAGACCTGAGATTGGATCTTTTCTTAGAAAAAAGAAAACTAGTGATATTTACTTTGTTACACTTGTGTGGGCCATTGTCATTGTCCAGATCTGGCTAAATTTCTGGATTGTGCAGCTATTGCCCGTGCCTTTTGCAGGTAATAATCCAGTTATTACAAATGTGTGTTAATTATGACTTTGGATAGCCTTAAGCTTTGTGCTAAATAAAATTGAAGGAAGAGGCTTGTAGATTTGTATGAGCTTTAATTTAAGACTTTTTCAAGACTTTTTGTTAAGACAAGATGAATTGTAGCTTCAGATAGGAAGACTGATGTGTACTGTCTGTTACCATGTAGTGGACAACTCTGTAAAATTGCTTTGTCTGTTGAGTATTGTAATTACCTGGAATAATTTAGTGCCATACATTACATTGTAACAATACTTCTGGTTGTGAGTACTTTGTTTTTCTTCATCCTGATGTCATGACTTTCAAGTTTTTGCACCTATAGATAAAGAATATTTTTAGCTGTTACTCAGTACTGAAGTACAGATCATGCTAGCTTTTAATTTCCATTAAAAATGTGTTGCTAGGACAAATCACAAACTAAATTTTATTCTAATTCTAGCTCTGAGGTTAATTAGCTTTATTGCTTCACATCTATGTGTATCTGTTCTCTTGTATATTGAGGAAGAATGGAGTAGTTGCGATAGCTATCTAAAGAGGTTATTTTATAAAACTGAATGCCACTTTTTCTGATACTGTTTTGAGGAGTGAATAGGGCAGATGGGAACTCTCAAAATACGCATGAGGTACTATGAAGGCATTTCCTCCCATCTACCTACTGTAAACAAAGTGAATTTCCTAATTTACTTGTCTTTAATCTTCAGTTAAAATGCTGATTTTCAGCATTTTTAAAATGTATTTAACACTTAAATGTAGCTATTTCTACCAAGTGTGGTGGGTTGGTCCCAGCTAGTGGCCCGGTACCCCCAAAGCCAATCACTGTTTTCTTGTCTTCCAGTGTGGGCTCATCCATGAGCTGCAGTCCCTTCAGAGAGGTACCAGCTCTGGCATCTCCTTGTCCTTAGGCCACAGTCCCATCTAGAGGTGTACCTGCTCCAGCATGGGTCCTCCATAGGCCATGGTCCATCTGAGTGGTGTGCCTGCTCCGCTGGGGAGCAATTCTACTCCCCTGACCTTTTTATTCCCTCCGTTCTTTCTCACTCTCTATTTGCTCATTCTCTGTGTTCCCTCCTCTTCTACCTCTCTAGTGTTTCCTGCCCTTTCTTAAATATATTTTCACGGAGGCAGCACACCTGTGCCTGATGCGCTCTAGCTTTGGCCTGTGGTGGGTCCATTGTGGAGCCATGTGGAATCAAATGTGTCTGGCACGGTGCAGCCCCTGGTCTCTCCCCATGGAGGTCACGCCAGCAGCCACCCTGCTACGAAATTTATACCCAATACACAAAGTCATTATAAGCCATCTAATTGTGCATCTGGAAATCATGACTGTGGGGCCATGCTTACAGGTTTGAGGGACTGTGAACTCCGGGAGGCATGGTGAAAGGAACAGCTGCACATTTGGCTGTTGCACTGTAGCAGCAGCTGAAGGGTAGTGTGATGGTCAGGCATATAAATAGCTGAATGCAGGGTAAGAGGAGAGAGGGGTTTGACCTTTGTTTCATTCCAGTGTAGTTGCTACAGAAGAAACGGTCCAGTTTTGGTGTCTGGGCGTCATGGTAAATGGCGATGGCAGGTTGGATGTAGCTATAAATAAAACATAAAAATGATGATCTTATTGCAAAATAAATTTTAGACTTACTAGAAGCAAAGTTTATGTGGCTTAATTTATTGAAGAGAAAAGTCAAGGAGTGACTTAACCACTGTTTAGAAATACCTGCTTGGGTGGGAGGAAAAATGGACACAATAGTTTTGCAGTTAGGTTAACAATAATGAATGGTCTTGAGCTTGAGCCAGACAAATCTAGATTAAAATGTACATCTATAACTGAAATGGATGAATACTGCTGTTGCCAGTCATGAGGTCTAAAATAGCTGCCTGAACAATAAACTCATGCCAAAACAGAAATTAATGTTGAGAAGATTTGTGACTTGTTGGTCTGGCAGTGACACCAGGCCATTAAGTGCTTTTTCTTGGCATATAACTGAATATTACTAGATCGCCACAAAAATATGAAAAGGCAGTATAATGAATAACAGGGACAAGTTTAGAACAGTGGGTCACATTAAGTGTCAGAAGTTGAATGGTGATAACCTGGGTTGTTAAAAGAGAGGTGGTATTAAAAATATTTAGTAGTGGAAGATGGGAAGCCTTGTAAAGCAAATTTCCTTGCAACTGTTCAAGTTTAAAGACACTAATAACTTTAAGCACTTCTGAGACCTTAAGGAGAATGCTTCTACTATGTAAAAAATTAAAACAAAATAACCCCCTGAAAACTTAAATAGAAATGGGTTAATTTCACCAGAGTTCCTTATATTGATAGAGACAGCACTTACATGAAGTAATATTTAGATGATTAGAAATATCTTGGTACCACTAACATTTTTCCTTGAATACATTTGTACTTTGGGGGAATGAGATGCTCTTTTTAAATTGCTTAATGTAGAGGGTGGAGAAATTATACCACAGTTACACCATAAAATGAAAAGGTGAAAAAATGGTGTTTAAATTAAAAAGCTAAGCAATGAACCAGGTTGTGAACACTTTTAACATTTTGTTCAGTGATGTGAGCCTGGGAATCCTAGTACTGTTTCTTCTTAAGATTTTTCATTTAATTCCTTGCTTGTTCTGTTGCAATTTTTTTTTTTAATTCTGTTTTTGTCTGCAGGTCATTTTCTGCTTCTGGAGATGTTTGGAATTTCTTACTATGCAGCCTTTCTCTCATTTTGCTCGCAACTTTCTAATAGCAGTCCTCCTTTAGATTTTTCTTTCTTGCCTCTTTTTAACGTAATGTAATTGCACCCGTGTTATAGACTGTAGCACCTCCTGACGTCACCTTTGCAATGAGGGTACACTCAGTTATTTTAGAAGATACTACTTAAACATTCATTTCTAAATAGTAGCAGGTTAGAATGACATTTCAGGTATGTTCACCTTGTAAAAAGCAAGTTTGCCCTGTTTTGCAGAGCGACAGTTTGTGTTCTTGCCATGAATTGCATTTCATCATACAAAACTTCAACCTGTGAGTTAGGTGCTGGCACTTGCGCTGTATTTTCTCCTTTTTTGTATGTTTGCCACTTTATCTTTAGTAGAAAGATTATTAGATCATTCTTCAAGAGAATATATCCCATATTTGCCACATGGTGGTGCCAGAAGGTAAGTAAATCCAATGTCAGCAAATTGTTGCATGAGCTCTCCATGAACAAGAATATAAATGATTACACAAGTGGCTTACAGATGATAGGACCTTGTGGAACTTTGATAAATGCCTCGTGGATATTAAAAGTTAACCTTTTCAGCTACATATGTCATTTTACATGTCTCCAAATAGACAGTGAAGTGAATTTTTGAGGATGAGGGAATTATTGTGGTGTCGATATATGGCAGTAAATAATGAATCTAGTTTGGAGCACAGTCATTCATAATGTAAAAAAGCTTTATTAAAAGTACACTTGAACATAATGATGGGGGGTTCAGTATCAAATGTTGCTATAAATATGACATAATAGGAGGAATACTGTTAGTTAGCATTTTCACAGAAAGTTATTTTACCGTGTAAGTAGAATTTTTAACACCAGCTAATTTTTGATCTACATGTGATGTTCACTGTTACTAACTTCTGATTTTAAAAAAGTTAGGGATAAATTAGAATTATGTGATTCTGTTGCTAATAGTTTCACTTTGTTTTCCTTTAGAACCATAGTTTTCAGTATTTGGGGATGCAGCTTAATTTTTTTTAGAAGTTTGTATATCAGTAGTTCTTGGCAGGACTGGGTTGTGAGACTTTCCAGTCTCTGATTGCTACATTTCATAATTATGATCCTTTAAGTCGATGTATCTTGTAGTGATGCTTTTGTGACTGATACGTTTACATCGATACTCCAGTAAAATTAGTTGTAATACAAATCTTTGTTTATAATGAGAACTAACTTCTCAGTTCTGATGTTAATCTTCTAAAGCTACTAGCAGATTTACATGCTGCTTTTCAGTGATGAGAACATAAATAATTTGAGTGGTGTAACATTTTGTGGCATAAAAAAAGAATATCATAATTATTTCATGAGTATTAAAAACCTACTAGCTTCCAAGGAAAGTTTCATATGTATCATGCTTTTTTGCTTTTACATTCCTGATTGTGATGATTCACAGGTTTTGCATGTATACTCAGTAAGTGAGGGAGAGCAGTGCCATTGCAGAATTGGTACCATAAGCCTTATGCAAAAGTGTCTGAACTTTATTTCATGGCAAGTAAATGAACATGAGCTTTTATTTCTGTAACTGTAATGACTAGACATTTCTAATGTTGTTGAGAAGCTCTTTATTTTCCAGTGGATATATATTAGGAGTGTTGGAGAAAAGCTGTTTGTGGTAGCAAAATGCTTCTTTTTTGGGGAAAAAAACTTGTAAATATTTCTTATGTCTGATTTTGAGGAGCAGTATGGATTTTTCGGAAGCTTTGTGTGACCATCTTCAAGCCAAGATAAAAAGCTGATCTCGTAATAGTAGTTTTGATATTTAAAAGCAAAATTAATCAGTAATTGTATTTCAGTTGAAGGTTTAAACGAACACTTCTTTACTGTGAAATTATACATGATCTCCTGTCAGTTCTTAAAGGAAAAATAGCATTTTAACAGCTTAGCCTAAAACTTAAGAATTGAGGCTGAAAACTTATGTATATCATACTGTCAAGTTCTGAATATGGTATTTTATGTGTAGTCATCTGGCACGGTATATGTGTGAAGATGTGATAAATCCCCTGTACTGGATTCATGAAATGGCACCTGCTTATCCCAGGCATTGCTTAAGTCTTTTAGCTGCATAATTGGGTAGTGCACAGGCACCTTTCTTCTGCAGCCATCTTAAATTTCGTGTAGATAAGCATGGTTGTAAAGCAAGTGAGATTAGTACCACTTGAAAATTCTGAAAGTGATTTCTAATGGGAAATAAAACTCAAGAATCTTTTTCTTTCTTTTTCATAGGTCTTTCAGAATGGAATAGATGAGTAGTCTTGTGATGCTCCTCTGAAATCTTTAATATTTAATTTCCTTCTTATGTTTACAGTTTGGGCACTTAAAAAGCTCGTGGTGCATTTTGGAGTTTTGAACTTCATGGCAAACCATTGCAAAAGTTGGTGGCAACTTGCTGAAAATTTTGTGAAGGAACGTCAGGAAGCTCTTGCTCCAAGGCCCATCAGAGGTCTCGGAAGAGTCATGCTAAAGCTTGACAGTAAGGTATTTCTACTTATTCCCTTAAGCAACCCGACAGTTTGTTTTATTCTCTGTTCACTGTATGCTGAGACGCTTTAATTCTAAAATAAATGTCTGTCACTAATGGACATGTCTCTCATGTAAAAATATATCTGTTTTATGGTGTATTTTAAACCATGTCTCTTCTGTCACTGTTCACACTTAAGCACACATTTAAACTTTGTTAAATTATTACATGCAAAGCTTGACAGAAGTAATTTTTTAAATGTTTAGTTAGCTTTAGAAAATTCCTTATCTAAGCAAGGCAAACATCAAGGTTCAGTTATCTTACCTGATTACAAATATTTTGAAGTTCAATTTAATGATTTAATCTGAATGATGAGACATTCCTACTTCTGTTGTGAAAACTTGGTTTTAAAAGCAGGCCATTTTACTCTGTAAGCAGGGCCTGAGCTGGTTTGAACACATTTGTTTGCGCTGTGTGGAAGTATAGTTGTTGAATAGAGTGGCATGGTGGTACAAAAGGGACGCTTCCCTCTGTAACAGAAGAAATACGTGGAATAAGGTATTCAGGAAGTACGTCAGCCATATAAGACTTCTGTGCTCCCATCCCTTCTCCTCCACTCAAAATGCGCCCACATTTGCATTGCAAATTGCAGAGTTGGAAATCTCAATAAAATTTATGAATATTCCTCCATTCGGAATTGTAAGTTTTGACTTAACCTGATAGAATATTTTGTTTGTAATATCTGTGCCAGTCTGTAAGAATGTGCTTTCTGTAACTGTGTTGTTGAAGTATTCTCTGCTTTAGAAAAAGCCATTACCTCAGAGTTTCTGTAACTGAAGAGCTGAACCCTGTAAGTACATTTGTCAGAGCATCTGTACCTTGTCAGATCCATCTGCAGTTTATAGCTCTGAATTCCTACAGGAAAAGGAAGAGCTTAAGCCCAGATCTAATGGGTAAATGGATGTCAAAAGGTCAACAAAAGCATTAGGATGGCTGTAGGAAATAAGTAATGTTTTCACAGAGTTGACTGAAGAATATTGTGAAAAAAGAAGTCGTCTTTCAGAATACAACTATGAACAAGATAAAGGGGTTTTCCAAAGGTAGTGGAAAGTATGAACATGTTAGGATAAAAGCTTGTATTATCCAAAGCTTTTCATTAAAAGCTTTTGTTTCGAAAGTAAGACTCTCTAAACAGAATATCGTATGTACTGTATCTCATGAGTTGTCAAGTTCAGTCTCCTTGTATTGCATAGCTATATGGTATAGTATCCTTCCTAATTCTACTAAGTCTTTTCTTAAAGAAGGTAGGGCTTTTGTTGTAATGTGCAGCAGAACTTCCCACTCTTAAGCTTAAATTTATTTAAGATCAATTTATATTGATGTTCTTGTCTAAGTAAAAGAATGATGTTGGCACAACTCATTTCTCTATCCACCTCACCCCTCTCCCACCCTCCCATTTTTTTAGCTGACAGGCATATTCCTTCTGAATCTGTGCTGTGTGTATTAAAGCAATTCAAGCTCTTCTAGCTGTTATAAGAAGGTCACTTGATACTCTGCATGGTTCTGTTGTTCTTATTTGTACCTATTCTAATTACAGTTTACCTGGCTTTATCATGGGCAGCTGGAATTATATGTGGTCTTCCAATGCTTATCACACTACTGCTTTCATATCTTTTAAGTTCTACCGGATATGCTTATTCTGTGCATTGTAGGATCATAGATGTGTCTTAATTCTGAGAATTTGGGAAGCAATGCCATAGGACACTGACAATTGCGACTTTTGTGGGGATGAGGAAAGGAGAGGAATGAAAACCATATCCTTGCAAGTTTTTTTAGAAAGGATGAATGAACTGTATTTAAGTTGAATTACCAAACATTTTTGGCTTCAGTGTTGAAGAGGAAATAAATATATGCAAACACTAAACAGAAATTCATGGTGTAAATTGTTACAGCTTACCTTTTATGTGTGTGTGTGTGTGTGTGTGTGTGAGAGAGAGCAAGATTGAAGAATCATTTCCTTTGCGATGAAACTCTAATTTCTTAATATTTTATTTCTGCTTTCTTTTCCTGGGAGCTGAAGCTGCTTAGTGAATTTTGTTGTGGTTGGTTGGTTGGTTTTTATATACTCAGTTAATTGAAGGCTGGATCTCAGCATCAGGAGGTAGCAGGGATCTTAGCCGAGTACAACAAGCTACTGACATGGTCTGTTTCACAGAGATACCTAGTGGTGGTACTAGGTCTTTCTAAAGTGGTATGCCCGATTAGGAAATAGTTCCAGTTTTTGGTAGAAGGTAGTGAGGACGAGGAACATGTCTTAAACTAGCATGTTTTTTTCTCCCAAACAAAGTTTAGGAGGCTAGTGTAGATGGTCTGGAAAATAACCTACTGAGAGAAGTTATGGGAGGGTACTGCTAATCCATGCAAATCTTTGAGCTTTACTGATTATGTCTGTTTCTTAAAGAAAAGCAGTAAGAAATGAACTGCTGCTCTTCTTTCCCACTGCTTTCCAACCTCTGGTTATCTTGGAAATGCAGACAAATTGCAACTTAAGGGAAGTTCTGATCAAGAGGAAAGAAAGTAGAGCATTGCTTTTAATTTTCTTTATAAACAGTAGGTCAAGCTGTGCCTGTATGTACAGGCCTGCTTTAAATATGGACTATGGAAATAGGATGTCCTGTCTTATATTCTTTAGTCCCTGGTTTTGCATTTGCCCCATGGAGTCAACAGGCACAGCAATTCGGATATGAGAGTCTTCCTGAAGGAAAGAGTAGGGTGGTTTCTGCTGTCATCTATCAAGTCATCTTAAAACTTAATAGATACAGCATCATGCATGTTATTATCAACAGTCAAAACCTAATAATTTGCTTCACACTTTTTTTTTTTTTTAAACAGAAGACTTACTTTTTAATATGGTGACTGTAGTTTTATTTTGATTAGAGCTTGCAAGGGAGTTCAGCATAGGCAGTCGCTCAACTGCATGCTCTAGGCTTCCAGTAATCATAATGGGCTAGTATTTTGCATGCATGCTTTCTGGTAGACTTGAGTGAGTCATGCAATTAGATGCTTTTTCTAGGTATAGTGTACTGGAATTTTACATATGGAGGACTGTAATAGATTGTTTGGACTTTGCGTCCAAAGGTTTGGTTCTTCTGGTACTATTTAGCATGTAGTTAAAGTAAGCATGGAATCTCTACCAGTGCATATATTATTCTAGGAGATACTTTCATAGACATGTAAAATCTTACATAAATAGTTTTCCAATAAAATGCTGGAAAAGTGGTTGGAGCCTTACTAGTTTTGGATAACTTGAAGATTAAAATTAAGTTGTAATCTATTTTTTAAAGGTAAATTGGCTACATTTGTAAAACTACTTAATCAGTATTGGTGAGATAGCCACCAAGGTAAGGAGGGTAAAGCCTCCCAGATATTGTCTTAACAATCATTTTTTAATTAATGTTTATTTTTGACGTTATTTCCTAGTTCTTGTATTTATCATCCAGTTCCAGGAGGCTGAAATTGCAGAATACCAAAGACTTCCTTTCACATTCTTCTGAAATCTCAGGCTAACAATAGCGCTCTAACTTTTGTTGTATTGGAGTTGCAAATTCGAGAAATGCAGCCACGAGATTTACATATTTTCCAAAATGAACCTAATGTATAGTGGATTTTAATATGCAGAAGTAAAGTGAAAGGCAGAAGTATTTTGTTGAATCAGTAAGCAACTATACCTTTTTTCAATGATAAATTATTTCATAGGTGAAGAGGTAAAATGGAAAATTCTACAGTGTCAATTCAAAGCTTTTGAAGTTTTGTCATTGCTTTTCATTACTCCGATTCTTTCCATGAGTAGTAAAAGCAGGTGCTTTGTCACGTATTGTCATGTTTCCTGATGTTCGTGTTTCTTTGTAAGTATGCTTCTTTCTTCTGATGTAACTTAAGTAACATTCTGAGATTTTAAAATTTGAAATGTTCTTACATTTTGTTTTCATTGGGAGCTAATATAATTTTTGGCAACTGGTGAAAACCCTAGATTTATTGAGCATTCGATGATCTGGTTTTCAGGAAGAAACAAACTTCTCTTGATCTTAACCTATAACACAGGTGAATAATACCAGAGCTTTTCACTGTTGTGATTGTGCTGCTAACTGATTACTAATGGCTAAGCATTAAGAGTATAGTCCTACATAAACTAGTTCCTAAAATGGGTGTACTTGACCAGTATGGACGAGAATTAGTAAGGAAAAGTAACTGTAGTACAAAAGGAGAAATTGACTGTTGAGAAGTGCTAAGTGTTCTGCACAACCAGTAAAATTATATGAAATCCATGAATATATGATCTACAATTTGCTGTTCTGTGTATATCAGATTTAATTATGTATTTGATGTTGTGCCACTGAATGTGAATGTTGTAATATGAGTGTGATACTAAAAAAAACCATATAAAATTTAATAATAGTTGACATAATAGGAGTGTTTTCAAATACATAGGAAACTACCTGAATGAGAGTATTACTGCGTAAGAGTATTAATGCACTAAACAGGTATCTCATGTTAAGTTTTGGTGTTTGAGTAAAGTGCCCTTCTCAGAGTACTTTTACAGGTCCTGCTCTGAAATATTAGCTATCAGTATAATTAAACTGGAATTGCCCAGATTATGCTGGTAGCTCTGTTAATATCATTAAAGTTGCTCTTACTTGTTATATCCCTCTTTGTTTCAAAAAGTGCATGTTAATAGTAAAATCTAGATTCTTGCATTAGAAGTTATGATCTTTTCTTCCTGTCGCAGTTTACCTTTGTGTCTGGAACAATTTCATTTTCATTCTGTGGATGACTTTGCCTGCCTCTCGTTGCTTTTTTTCCCCCCTTTATTACTGCATTTTTCAATAATTTTCCACTGTGTTCTTGTCTTTTTTTTCCCTTTTCTTCCATCTCCCCCTGCCACTGACAAGCTGTGGCACTGGCTTAATAAGAAGGTAAATAAACAGAAAAATTGTGATTCCAACTAATGGATTCTGTGGTTCTGGGGAGGTGTTTTTTTGTTGTTTTTTTGTTGTTTTTTCAGCATGAACACTATTTAACATGCCTTGCTTCTTAGTTTTCTCTCCCAAGTGTCTCTCTTCCAGCTCTTGATATAAGCTACTGAAGGTCATATAATTCTACCTGATCTCTTGTCTTCTACTAAAATGAATGCACATAGTTAAATGTTTTGTACAACAGAATACTGCATTTGCTTCCAAGTGGTAGTTTGATTTAGTGGCACTTCCGTTTCAGAACAGTTGGTCTCCACCTGTTCCCCACCTGTAAACATAACAAAACCAGTTCACTCCGAGACTAGAGAGCTATTCTCTGCTCAGGGAAAGCATGTTAACTGAATTAACACGGGAGCGTTGAGGATGAAGCACAGTTGTAAAGCTAAGAATGTACGTGCTTGCAAATAGTTTGTTGACTGACGTAAGTCAGTGCTTTTAATCTTTTACTTTTAAAGGGTCAAACTAGCCTGTATACTCAATGGTATTCAGCATGGCAGGAGTGACATGAGAATACTCACCGTCACAGAACTGATTTAATGACAGTCTTAAGGGAAGTGAGGGCTAGTTTAAAAAAAAAAATTAAAAAAAAATATTAAAGCAGTTGGTATAGCTGATATATTTTTTCTTTTGTGGGCTGTGTGATGTGTTTATATGAAAAATTTACCTCAGTTCTCATGGTTCATCTTAGTCAACTAGGGTTAACTGTTATTCTTTGAGGAACTGTCATCCCAAGATAAGTTAAAACTGATTCATTCCAAGTTTGGCCTTGTGTGTCTGAAATCTGTACAACTCCTCAGTGCATTGATACCTCTCTGGGATTTGGGCAGTGTCAGTACTTCAGACAAGCACAGAGCTGGAGCGGGATACTTGTAGCATGTGTACATCTGCAGGACCTCGGGGTTTTAAAGGTGAAAATCTAGTATGTGATAAAACTTATGAAAACCAAGTAATTAAGTGAAAGAGAAAAAATCAAATACCATGTCTGGAAATGGGTTACGCTTCCAGAAACAACTTTTATCTTCGCTTACCATTTCAGTATCATTAGAAGAGTCAGAAAGGTTACTATGATTTTATAAACAAGAGCCCATCCTTTCCATTCAGTAGCTATTACAGTGGAAACCATAGATCTGCCTTGCATGTTGTGAAAAAAATCCTGAAATACTGTCGTCGTGAATTCTGTTGAAATTCTGAGTACAGTAGAACAGAGTACAGTATGGAGGCCATGGGGGCACTGGCACAACTCTCTAAAAGAAATGGGGCTGCACAGCTGGTATCTGGTCTGGGTGGCAGAGCAGCTGTAATGAATTTACAAAATTTGATCTTCAATATTTAATCACTGTACTCAGGGTTATACAAAATCACAGAATCATCTGTGTTGGAAAACACCTTGAAGATCATCCAGTCCAACCATTAACCTAACAGTAAGAGTTCCCAACAACGGGGGGCTTTCTGTGTTTCTGAACAGGAGAGTAGAGTTGCTTGCTTTGTGTTGATTATAGTTGTCCACTAAGGGGGGAATTTTTTAATGTTCTTTTGCCCTTGAATATAGTTCAGTTGTTTTAAAGTTACATTTTTATTTCCTGAATTTGAAATGTTTGTATTATGTGAGTTGACTTATAATTAGTAAATATGTGCAACTATAACCCTTCATAAACATTTTTTTATTGGGTATTGGTTTGTTAGCATAGTTCAGGTCAAGAGCTGAGTTCAGTGAGACACAGGTAAAAGTTTAGTTTCAATTACTTTTTTTCTGGCTCTGTTTGTCATTTGCTTGTTTGAAAATTCATGTAGATCATTTTTTTCCTTCATATTGATAGGTCACAAATATAATTTCACTGTAATTGCTTTGAACTCTAAAATGTCTGAATTTTATTTTCGGTTTAGAGATTTGCATTATTGGGCAAAACCCTGTGGATATAGTTTCTTAATAGAGGTATGGGGTTTTTTTTTTATAGTTCCTAGAAACTGTTTTTGAAAACTGCTGTTTTACTTTACAGTTTCATGGGATCCTTGAAAGTCCTATAGTGTTACCTGCAATGCTGACTCCTGTGCACAAGCAAGTAGTAATAATCTTATAATCCAAATTTTTTAAAAAAGTACAGAAATACTGTGCAAACCTGTATCAGATTCTTCCAGGTTTGTTTTGTTGGGTTGGTTTTTTTATTTATTTTTTCGTTACATTTTTTTTTTTAAAAAATCATATTGTACCAAAGGCAAGGAAAGGAGGAGACTTGTAATACAGAACACTGGTTGCCCTGTCTTTTGAAGGGAAGTACTTGTGAGAGTACCAAGATAAATTTCTGATAATCCACCAAGAAACTAAATATACACCACCTAGAGATTGGCAGAGTTTTAAATAATGGTTGACTATGTCTGCTAGTGATAAACCTTTTTTTTTTTTTCCTGTTCCGAGAGCTTTTGTTAAAGAGCTGCTTGAAACTTTTTTTTTTCAAACGAGAATAAGTATATAATCATATAGTTTAACACAGTATATGTAGTCCAAAATACAGAATAGATTCAGTTGAGCTAGCATGATTTGTTCTTTGTAACATTGTTTATGACATGAGTCCTTAGAAAGAATCGATAAACTCTGCTGTTGCTGTTAGAGGGACACTGGTAAAAGTAGACTTGAGACCTCATATAGACTGTTCTCTACCTTTTCTAACTTAACTACTTATCTGACTCATTTCAACATAACCCTGAGATGTGTTTAATTTTAAGCTTCCCCTTATTCTCATCAGATGATATTAATAGGATGATATCCTCAAATATTAACTGAACTAAAGGGAAATGTCGACAAGTTAAGAAATATCTTGGAAAAAATCCTGATAGTGAAGCTGTTTAAAGTTAAAAAAAAAAAAAAAAAAAGGCCCTCTGGTAATTTTATGTAGATTTAATTGAAGATGAAGTAGATGTGTAGGTAATGCAGTAAATAAAACATAATAGAAAAACTAGTGTTCTGATGACTATGCAGCGTGAAACATTCATTCATTCATAGATGATGTATCATACTGCCTAACAGGGAGAACCTATCTAGATAGTAGGGTTCCTAATTGTTAAGTATGAACTGTAGTTCTGTTACAGCTCAGTATAGTATGGTTTGTATCATCACCCAGAAGTTGAAAGCAGGCAGTACTTGCAAATTACTGAGAAACATTTTAACAGAACACAACTCATCTTGAAAACTTTTTTTTTTTTTGCAGTGAGCTAAATTTAAAAAGAAAAAAAGCTGATACCTTTCCCTTCAAAACTGTGAGAATTAAGGATATTTTATATGGACAGTCAATGAAAAATCAGTAACCTTTCAAGTTTGTTTTTACAAGTGTGACCTTCTGTAGCTTAGGAGCCTGGCTTTCCTTTGCGTAATTTTGGATGTTGTGGCAGCATAAGCTTCCCGCAGTTGACTAACGTTTAGATTAGAAGCTTGGAACTGAATTTAAAACTTATTGATCTCTGACTAATGATTAGTGTTTAGTCAGTATATGTTTGTCTTTGTGTGCATGCCCATGGTTTACAGGAAGGATGTAAAGGGAGGTCTGACAGGGTTGGGGTAAGAACGAAGTCTGGATCTGAATCAGTGGTAAGTACAAGCACACAGGGATTTAACAGTCTAGTTTACCTGCAGTAACAGCACCTATGCATTATTTAGCATGAGTGTGCAAAGGTGAGTGCTTCCTAAGGAAGAGTGTGGGTAAATGTAGAGGAAGGAAGGGAGACTTACTAGCAAGGAAATTAAAGGAGGAGTAAATATAGCCCTAAATGAATGTTGTGTATCTGCTTTTACTTCTACAATACTCAGTCCAACTCAGTCTTCTCCTGTGATACGTCTGTACCAGTTGCATAACTTGGATCTCCTTAAGACTTGTGTGAGAGATGTAATTGCACTACCTGTAGGCATACCTGAGCTGGCTTTCATCTAGCTTGCTTGGGCTATCTGCCTAAGTAAATAAACACAAGGTGGGCTTGCCTGTGCTGGTACAACATTAGTGCTGCCATTACTTTACTAACTAGACTGAAGGTAATTCAGGCTTTACACATGTGCTGCAACTGCACCTCAGTGGCAGTGTAGACGTACTCCAACCCACGTAAGGAATGTCAAGAAAAGAACCCCTGTTCGTAATGTTCTAGTTCAGAGACAGTCCTCATCCTGATTTTTTGGAGCTTGATCTTCCAGTAGTTTTCCCCCATGGTGAAACATCTAAAGCATCCAGCTTCATCTGCACCAGTGTTGGATACCATGCACACAATCACTGAGGTAGTACCTCCTCTTTCTTGGGTTCAGTGAGACCAATTAAGGTGCTATGCCTAAGACCAGCTAACGGATTTCTTTTATATCTAACTTAAGAAGTAAATAGCAATTAGTTTGAACTTTGTTAACTAAGAAACAACAGGGGCAGCATTAATTTTTAATAGCTTCATTTTGAAGCCCATGCTGTAAAATTTCCATTCCCTGGCCATCCAGTGTTTTTCAGTTACATTTTTGATTTCTGACCTTTAAACCAGGGACTTTTATTTCTTGCTTCTTTTATATAATCCTTGGATGTATGTGAGGCTTGGAAGGGCACAGCGAATCCTGTTTTCAGTCTTATTTCCAAAGAGGTAATGGCCCTATGTATAGACTACTCAGAGTTTGTTCAGAAAGCTGCAGTACTGCTGCAGGTGGATAACCTCCTTCTAGCACTGTCAAGGCATTTCTGATGACTGAAATATTTCAGCAATGCTGAAAAATGTTAAAAATATCTAAGACAAAAGGTTTTGCAGATTCCTTCAGGTTCTCTGAATTCCTTTCTGCAGGTCATAATACAGACCAGATTTTGTTATAAAAACTTGCTGACTCAACACCTTGTTTCTTTTAAAAGGATTTTGCTTTCTTCAGTTTTCTTAATTTTGAACAGCAGTTCTAAAAAGCTGAATATAATCTTTGTGTTAATTTAGATCAGACAAGGAGTTGGTTGTAAAAGAACTTAAAGTTTAAAAGTAATTATTTAATGTGTATTAACTGCTCAGAATGAGCACCAAAAAAAAATCCCTGTATTTTTGCAATAGGAGATGTAACTTCAGTGTTAACCAATTCAATCATCACAAAGTAGTCTCTAGAAGTTAGTTATTCCAGGGCCAATTTCGTATGCAGGGATAGGGTAAATAATGAAGAAAGACCTAATGTAAACCATCACCAAGCTTATCAGTTTTGTAAGATCTCCAACTTAAAAGTTATCAGCCTAATCGCTGAATTTATAACTTGTACTCATTGAAATACTTTCATCTACTACACATGTTCTCCTTAAAGCACAAATTTTACAGGTGTCCTGCTGCTGCTTTTTTCCTGCAGTAATGCCAGATGGAGTAGAAATAGCCTTGGTATATGAACTATAGAAGCAAGAAAAATGCATTTGGTCATACTTGCGTGGACTTTCAGTCAGTTTGTGTATGAGATGAAGCTCAGCTTGCAGTGTTCTAGAGCACTCTGCATAGTCGCATTGCTGAGCAATTTTATTGTTTTGAATGACATTATCAGAATTTCTCTAATCTTGAAGTGGTATCACTATTTGTTTGTGGACATGTATAGAATGGGCCTTTCTGTAAACCAGCGGAACAACATACACTCTTGTTTCCTGTATCAGCAGGTTTAGCTGATGCATGTTTAATGCTGAGCATCCTTTTGAGATTGAAAGTGGATAGAAATAGTCAGCACTGAATAATTGGCCTGATGTTCGGTAATGTAGAAAACCTCCATCCCCATTTCAGTTCAGACGATGATGAGCAGCTTTAAAAATCTGGTTACTTGCAGAAATACCTCATTTGTCATTTTCACGACTATTAGCTATTCAAATTTCAAAGTCATGGTTGTACTTTACAGTAGACCTTGATAGCTTCCAAGTCCCATGAAGATAGTATCTGTAAGTTTCTAAGTTGCTGAAGGACAAGAAACAAAGACAAATTTCTAGGTTGATAGCTGACATGAATGCTAGCTTCTTTAGGTTAGTAAGTAAATGTTGAATTATTGCTTGCTTTGCAGACAGCTTGCTGTGTCTTGTGGTAATGTGTAAATGTCTTTGCAAATCATATGTCATACCATGAGCTTAACCATGCTAACATCGCTTGTTAATTGTTCATTTCCAAGCTTGGGCATAAATGCTGTTTGATTAGTGCTTGATTTTGCACTGTGATTGTACATAAAGATAATACTGTCATATAGCATTGCTTTCATTAAAGATTAATTTATATGCTGTGATTTGTTTTTTCTTTTTTCTGCACAGATCATCGTGTGGTTGGAGAAAATGCTAGATAAAATAATCAGCATTTTCATAATATTTTTGCTAGTGATAGGAACCCTTCTGCTAGCCCTCCTCCTTACTGCAAAGGTACAGTGCGCTAAAGAATGTAATCATAGAGCTCATTTTAAATGTGGAAAGTTACAGATGTTTATGCAGAATTATGTAGCTTAAAGAATTTTTTGAAAAATTTAGCAACTAAATGCTCTGTAGTTGAACTTGTTACCATTCCAAGACATGTATAAAAAATCTCTATTTGTGTTTCTGTGTTTATTTACATATATGACAAAACTAATACAGAGACATTTAGAAATAAGAAATTTATTCCAGTAAAAGAATTATTAGCTTATATATTACAGTAACAGGATTTGTTTTGCATCTGGTTACACTTTTCTTGTGAAGAGCAGAGCCACTTAAAATCTTTTTGCTTTAATTTATATTGCATCAGAAACATAGTTGCAAAATGCTTAAGGTGTATTTGTCAATTTGTATAATTGCCTCTAATAACCTCATGGTATCCTGTTCTGAGTTTAAATGTGCTAATATTCATGATCAGATGGTCTCTGAAATTAATTTTTGGTTATTGGGGTTTTTTTTGTCACCAGAAGAGGTCACTCATGTACTTTTTTCTTTTTTTTTTTTAATGGAGCTATGTTCACACTTAGGCAATGGAGATTTAATGTTTGACTTGAATACAGTGACAGTACAAAAATCAATGCGTTCTGATCTTTTTCCAAAATGTAGAATTAGATAATGTCGAGTACTTAAAATTAAAAGCTTTAAAAGTTGTGCAAGCATTCCCGCCTAAAGCTTCCTTATATTCATTAAAAGAACATTAAGATATTTATAAAAGGTGTCTTTTATCATTCTTAATAAATAATTAATTTGGTGAGGCACTTTATAGCATGGCTAGTTATGTTAGAGCTGAACAGTCATTAATTTTTACACTACTTTGATCCATGGCTTATATCTGAAACTGTGCTTTGTATTTTAGTACATTCCTTGACAGCACTGCTGTATTGTTATTTTTTTTTCCACTGATGTGATAAGGTTTAAATTTCCATTTACTATTACTAGTCACACAGTGTGTGACCAAAATTGTCAGAAGAGACTGATGTTTATTGTATTGACTGCTTTTTTTGGTTAATAGCACTTAATTCTTCATAATTGGTTGTCTGTGTTGGAAGAATTACTATATAAGTGTACAAAGTGGTCACTACTCCCACCCCCTACCTACCCCCTTCCCAAAAAAAAGAGAAAGAATGAAAGAATGTAGGAAGATTTCTGGTATGTATTACATAACATTTCTCCTCTTTATATTTAATGTAGGTACATCAAGAGAGTGTTCACATGATTCAAGTCACAAGCAGCTTGATCAATGAGACAGTAGCCAGTCACCCAGAATGGGCAAAGTAAGAATGATGAAGTTAAGCAAATAGTATAGGGTGGATGAACAAGCTTCCGGGTGCTCTTAAGCATAGTTTTTAATTAAAAAAATCCCCTAGGTGAATAGAAATGGAAGTGACTGTTGCACGCAGGTGTAAAAGCTAAACTCTCAGGCAGCAGTAGTGTTTATGCATTACTCTGGAGGATTGTCAGTGTGGTACCTCATTGAGGACTGGTTGGACTTCGGTGGAGCAGGGCACTGCATAAACTTCTCTAGTTACAGTTTTGGAGGAAAAACTTAGATAGTGCAGAGAATGAAGAGGTCAATATTCTTTTCCCTTTTACCTGCAAAAGAAAAGTAATGGTAAAGAATGCTTTCTGTAGAAGGTTGTGAGATAAGAGCTGAATTATTTTTTTCAATTGGAAAGCTGGCTGCAGAATGCCTTCGAGGGAATAGAAGTTGAAGAAAATGTTTTTGGAGTGAACTGAAGAAGAGTTCAAGGGTGGAAAAAATGGTGGATGTGGGAGAGTTTGGTATGGGTCAGTTTGGAAGGGTTGTTCCTGTTAAGAGTAGACACGTATAGTGTATGCAGTAGGAAGTCCATAAGATATGGTCTATGTAATGATTAAAGCAAACACCAAGGCAAGTAAGGGAGAGAAGATGTTGAGAGAAATGCATATAGAGAACAAGGGCACACTGATGAGCAGAGAAGTGATTGCATGAACAGCAGACGAACCGTAGGTGAGACTGAAGAGTGTGATTTTGAGGGGAGGATGTTCCAGTTTGCTTTCATTCTGCTTCAGCTAAACAGACATAGAGTAAAGGTGAGTCCAGGCTTTAACAGGAAAATGAACTGTCTCCTGGACAAGAATCGTTGACTTTTCAAGGGCAGTTTCTAAACAGAAGTGATGATGGTTTGACATGATTGAAGGAAAGTGCATGCTGTGTTATAAGAGCAAGAGAGACTTTCAAAAACAGAACTAAAATGATACAGTTAATAAATATTACAGTAATATGTGCTTTAGCAATACTTAATATGCAATCAAGAGAACAGAAAGCACTTAAAGTATGTTTGTTCCTTCATGACATCTCTTCTGCTGTTTGGCCTTTCAATTTTGTCATAAGATGGAAATAAGTACGACTAATGAAAATGAAAATTTGGCTGTCGGAAGCTTATTCACATAATGAAAATACTGGAGTACTGGTTGAGCAATTATCAGAATTCTAGCTAAAATTTTTACTTCCAGTGTTTGCATCCAGATTTGAAGCATCCAAGCCACTATCTTTTAATTCATTAGGAGTGAGTATAGGTCTTGCCAAATCCATCAAGCTTTGCCAGCTTTCAGAGCTTGATGCTTACATTACATTTAGAGGTGACTGACTGAAATGTCTTGGAATTCCAATGCAGAACATTTCTGAAGGGTTGTACAGACAGAAAAGCTTCCATATTGATCTTCAGTCAGGTGAACAAATGCAGCAGTTTTATTTCCCGAATGTTTGTTTATTTCTTGTTTTGGAAGGGCTCCAATATGTACCATTGAATCAAGATGTAGAAAGAAAGTTAAAGCAGAGAATGTATGCCCTGTATTCACAAGTATTGAAATGCTGGAAACTCAGTAGGTCTGTTGCTTGAAAGTGATGTGAATTCCTGAAGAAATTAATGAGCAGATTGTTTGTTGAGGGCTTAAAAATAACTGCTGCCCAAACCTGTTGCTTCATCTGGTCGCTTGTTCAGGGAAACTACATTAACAATTTAGATTCAGCTCAATTCAGAAGGTTGTCTTTGCAGCTTGACGAGACTGCTTCATGTAGTGTTTTCAGAAGACTAGAACACTAGGAAAATTTCTAAGAATGTAGTGTAAATAGCACACATACAGATGGAAGAGCAGATCTCTTGAAAAAGTTGAGATACCAATTTAACTAATGTTTCGGGAACTTGGAGAATTCCAAATGCAATGATGTGCCCAAGATTAGTTGTGCTTTGCTTATGAGAAAGTCTGTTCCTTGATATGTAGACAGAAATATTCTAGTAGTATTAAGTTTATATGTATTTAACCTGAACTGTTTCTTGTTGTTTCAAAATGTTAATTTGTGGTGTGTTTTGGGTGTAATGAAATGGGTAGAATACATAGCAGTTAACTTGGTTTTCCTTCTTTAAAACAACCTAGCTGGCTCCCAGAAGCCCAGGTTATTCAGAAGGCGCTCAATTCGGCAGCTAATAATGTATACCAATATGGCCGAGAATGGATTACACATAAGGTAAGAGTGAGCTTCCCCACCTTTTTGAATATTATAATTTCTTGTATTTCATAAAAGTAAAAAAAATAACAAGATTTTTGTTAATGATGTTTTTCTATGTTGTTAACTGTTTTATTGACCCACTCTGGTTTGTGAGTTGAAGGAATGTGGGAGTGTTTTCAGTAGTCTTTTCTGCTCAGAGGAGTATTTATTTTTAAGAGCTGAAAAATATGTCATCATTTTAACAAGATTGCCAGTGAAAATGCATCAAATAATGATGAGTAATTTTTTTCATCTGGCTTTAGCTGCTCAATTGTAAATTTGTAGATGGTGTAGACTTCCTCCCCCCCCTGCCCCGTATTGTAATTTCTGTGTGGGCTGTGTGTGGTAGATTGGATTTTTTTTTTTTTTTTTAATTTAAGTTAACTTTCTTCAGGAGAATTTGCCAGAATTCTTGTTTATACATTTTGATATCTAGCACACATCTCAAATTATTTGAAATATTTACTCTAAAGATGATCAAAGATTTTTCAATTAAGCATTTCTGAGACGGCATTGTTTTTTTGGTGCAGAAAGAAGTCTTCAGCTTAGTGCAGTAGAATTTTTTTTTTTATAGACAAAATCTTCACATTGTGAACCATGTTGTTTGAAGTTCATATTCAATACTGATATGCAGCTTTTCCTAATCATTTGGATTTGGGCCATGCCTTTACTGCTAATGTCATGTGAATCATCTAGCTTGGACTTCATCAGCACATGCCACTTCATTCTATCTTGTATAATAAAAGGTTTTTATATGTTTTAGCTCCATAAGATTTTAGGAGAAAAAGTGAATAACACAGCTGTGATTGAAAAACAAGTGCTAGAGCTCTGGGACAGGCTTTATCACTCCTGGTTTGTGAAGGTGGGTAACTTATTTAAATAGTATTTGTATAAGCTATTACTTAGTGCTTAGAGATAATTATGCTAAGTATGCATTTTTGAGGAAATGACTAGCAAAAGTTGAAATGCTGAGTAAAAATGATAGTAAAAAGTAGATAAAAATGTTGAGTGTATAAGATATGTCATTCTACAGTCAATGTTTGAGTACAGCCAGAGCTGTGTCCTTCATTTAAATAGTTATTTCATGTTTTAGGTATGCAATTTAATTTATGCTTTGCTCACTTTTTATATTTAGTATTTCATAATTTGGAGCTTTCTGTTGAATTTTCGTGATCTTGAGGGGTTAGGAGAAGGAAACTGATATTCTACATGATTTGTGTAACTTATTAATTTGAAATTTTGTGAAAGAAATTGTCTTTTCACTAAGTTTCTTAAAATACATCTTTGCCAACTGTACTAGGCTTCTTATAGTGGGTTCTGCACACTGAATATTGAAAAGTTCATAAGAATTAAATCATTTTCATGCTGCCAGTGCTGTTTGCCTTTTAAAGGGAAAGCAATTCATTAGCCATGGTGCAGTGGAAATACGAAAATCCAGAAGTCATACCCCTGAAATACGTATATTTAAATAATTGCAATTATAGTATATTAATGCTTTTCTTTATGCATTTGTTTTTAAAGTGCCTCTAAAGTTCCAGGAAGATCTTTATATTAATAGAGTTTCAGTATAGTAGTCAAATATAAGGGAAAATAATCACTTTCTTTTTCTGATAAGGTAATGCTGTAGAAGAGCATGTGGAGAGATAATATGATGCTATTGAGGAATATGGGAGCACTGAGGAGAAATTAGAGCTGTATCTTCAATAGATTTTGCTGGCTTTCAGCACCTGGGAGTATTCAGTGTTAAATGTTTGACCAAGATATATGCCTACTTTTGATGCAGTTATACTGATCAACCTGTTGCTTTTACTAGTATAACTTTTGTGTTGCATGGTTCGTAGCACTGTATCGTTCAGTAGGGTTCTGTGTCATTGCATGTGCTGTAGGAGTACTTTTGTTGCTGCATACTGGGTGGTATATGTGTTCATTGTGTTGAGTGATTTCTTCCCTGCAGCAGTTATTTGAGGGAATACTATGAGGCTTCTTTCTTGTAGATGCTCTTCTGGTAGGGTAAGAAACAGCTTTCCTAGCAATCAAAATGGCAGAAGGAGTTTCAGCAGTGCACTGATGCTCACTGCCTACAGTCTTGAAGCCTGTTCCACTGGCTTCTGTTTGCATACTAGACATCATGTGTTACCACTGGCATGCTGGGCTGCACCTGAGTATCTGCGGGCTGCAGGTAACTCCTTCACATATTTTTAATCTTGCCCCTTCTGTCACAGTCCATATCCACGTAGATGTCTTTCCACCTGGCTATTTCCTTTCACAATATTGCAGTAGCCTTGTGTGGTCCTTCAGTGTATCTAAAAACTGGTAAACTAGGGGATAGTGCAGGAGGACACCTAGCTCTCAGTATAGCTCTCAAGCTCCCCACTATTTCGGCTGTAATTAGACTTCATTTTGAGGCCTGCATAGTATTGCTGTAGTCTGGAGGTGACTGAAGAACCCAGACTCATGTGATACTCTTCCATGAAAGCTGTAGAATTGAGGAAAAGTTACTGACAAAATGTGGATTCAAGAATTAACTGCTACTTTTTGAGAAGATCAGTAGGTAGCAAGTGGTGTCTATTTTAAATGGTTCTAGAGATGTTGTGATAGATCAGTTACCATTGTGTCTATGTACCCAAATGAAGTAAAATAGTAACAGAATAACAACCCACTTGGAAAGTGATAGCGTATGCAATTAAGGTGTCTTTCTCAAAGACAAGACTCTCTTCTTCCTGGTCTATTCCAGGTGTGAGGTTTAGTTTTGTTTTTAAGATCTAGTGAATTTGTTGAAGAGGAACCAGTTGACAATTTCTTTGAATCCCTTATTTATCAGCACTTAAGACCTTAGGTGCTACAACAGTGTAGTTGCTGAATAACAATGAACTTGAAATATGTATGAATAACAATGTTACAAAATTTGCAAATGATACCTAGTTCTGCTAGCTGATGGCAAGAGCTGGCTTTGAAAGTAGAACTAGATGAACAAAAAATAGGTTCTTGATACAATTTACAAATACAGAAGACCTATTGGAGGGAGATTTTTGACTGCTCATATGTTCCTGCTCTAAATAAACTCCTAGCTCAGAATAAAGATCTCTGTCACTGTGGATTGTTAAAGAACATTGCTAATTGTGCATCATAAATGTAACAATATATCTATGGAGATTTGGTAAATAAGCAGAAAATGTAATGCTCTTAAATAAATCTGTGCAGGGACTTCACTTGGAACACTACTTGCCATGTGTGCCAAAAAAAGATACTGTAATTTTGAATGCAGGCTGGTAAAAAGGGTTTTTTAAAAAAAATTCTAACAAGAGTAGTGGGATGCTTATAGAAACATCAGAGTTGAGAACTTGAAAAGCCTCTTGCTATTAAAGATTCCAATGAGATCTGTTGTAATCAGAGGGTTTGCTTAGACTTGCTTACAGTAGAATTTTGTCATCTTTCTCTGAAACACAGTCCCAGACTGAGTCAAACAGTCTTATGCTAGACAGTAATCAGGTGTGATTCATTTGGACAATAGGCAACTTTATGATTGGGGTGAAGCCACTTAACGGCGTTAGCTGTTGGGGTTATGGCCATTTTTTGTTGTCTTGCTGCATTTGTTGCATTTACAAGGGTGTATAGTCAGAAGAAATCTTCTATGCTTGTTCCAGATTAGCTTTTGGCTTTTGCATGACTGAACATTGCCAGTGGAGTAGACGACACTAATTGTGAGAAAACTACTTGGTTTGGCTTGTGCTTGTATTTTACTTTGTGGGTTGTACTGGGAAGAGTTGTATGTTGCAAACGGTAAATTATGTAGTTAGTAACTGAAGTGATTATCTGTTTCTTGTGTGATTTCATAAAGAGCAAGAAAGATACTACTGTATCAGTCAAGCAGAAAAGCTAATGTTTAACTGAGGTGAATATACAGTATGCAGAACTATAATTATATGGGATAATTAACTATGCTTTTCTGTCAGTTTTTAATTTTTCCAGTGTACTTCCAGGTATTTTTGAGGACACAAATTAAAGAAGCTCTAAGTACTTAGGTGCATGTTGGATCTGTTCCTCATTGACAAAACATTAGTCTTTGGCTTTCTCACGTCTAAGTTATCTAGATGTCTGTTTTCTTTACGTTTTTGTCTCTCTTTTTAAGAATGTAACGCATTCTGGAAGACACAAAGGACACAAATGGCACATAAACCGTCAAAACAGCTGGCTTGGTGATATTCTGGACTGGCAAGATGTTGCATCATTTGTTCATGATAACATTGAAACATTTCTTTCGGTATGTATCTTTTTCCCTTATCACCAAATTGGTCTCATTTTTAACAGGTAACAGTAAGGTTATGGGTTCAAGTACATGGAAAATGATGGAAACACTGTCAAGTGTTACTTAGAGTTATGTTAGCAATTATTCTAAGCCTACTTAGGATATAACCATTCTACAGACAGAACTGGTTATGATGAAGAAGCCTTCCTGATTTCAGCGTCTTCATTAATACTAACTTCCCAGACTTCTTTCTGAGAGAGATTGTTACTGTAGGATTGCCTGTGTTGCCTGAAAGCTGTTTTTAAATGCTTTATGTTATGTAGTCTTTTCTTTTTAAAACATAGACCAATTTATCTAGGTTGTAATTGAAGAAACATTGACCAAGAGGTTGTGAAAACAAAATATTTTTTGTTAGGTTTTTTTTTTCCCCTCAAGTTGTTATTCATTGGGTTGAAAGCAGCTTATTTCTCTCTTCTATGAAAGTGCTTCGGAGAATGAAATTAATATTTTACACTGTGTGATTTCCTGAATTAATGCAGTGGACCTCTCACCTCATGAGGAGAAAAGGAAAAAGCATTGAAAGTAATCCAAACTGAAGTAACTATGTTCCTCTAAAAAATTGATGTTAAATCTGAAATGCTTAATATACAGAGTCAATTCCTGACATAGTTCATCTTTGACTTGAGCTGTTGTCTTAAACTAAAAGTATCTTCAGGTTACTATTTATCTATTTTGGAAGAGTATTTTTTTATACCTAACTCACAACATAACCTTTCTGTGGATGCAATTAAAGCTAGCCTCAAGGCAATTCTTGGTTTAGACTGATGGATATGTGTGCTTTTTCTGTCCCCCCTCAACTGCTGCTTAAATAGTTACAGTTTCTGCCATAAAAGATGTGAGTCGAGAAAAAAGTTGAGAGAAACTTTTTATTGCAGTGAACCTTTTTTTAGTTAATAGTGTAATTTGCTTAGTACTTTCTCAAAGTTGACCTTGCATGCTTAAGAGAGTTATAAAAATGCACAACACATCATCATTTAAAATCAATATGGAGTTTCCTTCTAGGCGAGAGAGAGAGAAGGAGGAGAAACTATACAATAGGTGCTAGCCTTGTCATTTACAGCATTGCTTCACAGCGCTCAGAAACCATGATAAGTGTGCTTCAGTAATCTAAATAAACTAGAATAATGCAGGAAATAGTGTAAAGAGAATAAATATTTAAGACTGAAATACATTAATACTAAAATTTCATCTAGTTGGCATGCTTTGCCTTAGTTCTGATCTAGAAATTGAGAAAAAAAAATGTGCCAGTAGTTGATTTACCTTCCTGTTTATTTCTGTAAACTCATTGTTCATCAGCCGTGGGGAAACACCTGTCCTTTTCCTCCATACACTCATGTCCTTAATGACAGACTGTAAACCAGTCAGCATGGTATATAGCTCTAAATCCTGATTTCACATCCTTACTGGGCAGCATTTTCTTTGTTGGCTTGCTCATCCACAATGAATTGCATAAATATTACACTGATAGTTCAAATTAAAATTGATGAAAAACTGGTTTCTGCACTTGTTTAGGTCATTAAAACTTAGTCAAAGCTATTCTTATTTCCATAATCTCTAAGTCTGGTGTTTCTAAGAAATTTGCTTACCTACCCTAGGATACAATGAAAGCTTACTGTATTCAGGGCTTGTGTTTTTGTCAGAGCATGAAAATCTATCTCTTGATATTTTGAAGAGGAACAATGAATTATTAGAATGGCATGCCAAATTGGGAAGGATTTTAAATTGTGTAGGTGTTTTTGAGGGGCGTAGTTCTTGGGAGTTTCTTTTCTTCTTTTGGGTGGATTTTGTTGTGTTTGGTTTGGGTTTTTTTGGCTTTTTTGTTTGTTTTTTTGTGTCTTGTGGATCTTTGGGTGGGTTGTTTTGTGGGTTTTTTGTTGTTGAGTGTTGTGTATGGTAAGGATTGTGGGAGAGGTGCTGGGGGGGGTGGTTAAATAGGTTAGCTGTAATTCAGGTTGTAGGATGTTTCTGCATTTGGACACTTGAAATCAATGCTAACCTGCAATTCTTAAGAATATAGCAAGACATGGTATGTTCCCAAAACTGCTTTGACATTTTTTTTTTACACACGGAGCATTTAAAGACAGGTAACTGCAAAGAAGTGTGTGTGGGTGTGCAGTTACAGTGAGATTTCTTCCACTTTTGGAAAAGAATAAAGTACGATCATACTACTTGCACATAATAAATACTTCTGCATAGATTAAGGCTAGAGTTCACCATAGAATAACTGTCTTGCTAGTCCCTTGGCTTTCTGAAATATTTTGGAATAGTGCAGATGACTATTCTCTGAAAATACAGCTGTTTGACAGTGTTGTATTGCAATCACAAGCAGATAAGCTCTTTTCCTTTGATGGAAATCATAGGAAGTGTTCACTGTCTTTAGTAAGAAAAGGAGCGTTTGCTGTAAGAAAAATGTTAAAAGGAGACAGATAAAACTGTTTCACTTTAGGCTTTTCTTTTAGTGGAAGAAACTCCCATATTAGAGTTGAAAGCATATAATTAAATCACTAGTATAGCTGTGCTGGGGAATTACTGGCATTCATTTAATTTGTAACAATATGCATCGATTCAGTACTTTGAGTATCAGATAAAAGCATAGAAGGCTTCTGTACCCCCTTCAAAATGTGCTGTTCATTATAGCAGTTAAGCTTAGCTCTAGTTTGATGTAGACAGGCCTTAATTATTTTGAAGTAACTCACTATATAAACATGTAAATTGCCTGAAGATTTAATGTGAAGATAAGCTTTTTCAGATCATGGGTTTGTTTGGTTTTTTTTTTCTAAAAGCTTCAGTGTTAGCAGCACTTCTGCCTTTCAGCTTCAGATTTTTCCAGTATTCTTTAGAAGCAGTAGTGTTATAAACCAGTTTATCAAGTCATGCATTTCTGAGGAGAGAACTAGAGTGGATCCTCACTTATGCCTCAAATTTTGTGCCCCATGCTCTATTCTAAGGTAGTTTGTCAGATGAATGAAATGTGCGGTACGTAGCTGGACTACTATGATTTAATTTCTGAAAAATAAAAAACCACTTATTTCTTCCCCACTCAGCTGCTTTTTCATGCATACCCTTTTTCTCCTTTTCTTGAAGGCTTGAAACCTTGAAACAGTAAATAGCTGCTGGCTAAATCTGTGGATGATCCCACAGAACTCCCTTGATGGTATATGAGATGTTGGTAATGTCTCCTTAAATGGATCTTTTTGCTTCCTGCACAAGAATATTCATCATTTCACCAACAACCAATATCTTATTCAAAGATTTCCCAGACATGAAGACAGAAGACCTTCCATTAAGACGTACACAGGGAGCTTCAGCTCAGTTAGGTTTCTTTATCCATGTATTTGGCATGACTGATCTGTGTGGTCCAAATCAAGTCAGTTTCTCAACTATTTCACTGAGTGACCACATACCCTATTGTCTTCTTTGGCCCTGAGTATTTCTTCAAGTAGCCTCCTAAGTTTATAGCTAATACAGTCCATTCTTTGGTAATACTCTAACTACCATGCTCTTTTTTTTTTTTTTTTTTTTTTTTCATAATGGGAATTGTTTTTTTCAGGCTAGGTGAAATTCAACTTGATGCATATTTTTAGAGAAAGAGTTGATTTCTTTACAATGAGAAAGTCAAAGATGTGATGCTGAAGGATAGTCCTTTTTCTGTTGCTGTTTTGTCTCCATTTCATGTAAAGGTCAAGCAAAGATGTTTTTTCAAAAAAGAGCTTTCGAGTCATTGAAGGGTTAGTCCAGAACTTTATGGGTAAACATTTATTTGGAAATCATCTTTTAACTGAAGCAAGAAGCCTTAGATCTTGCATAGTGTACTAGTATGTGTAGTATTCTTCACAAAGTCCATTGCTTGTTTTTTACCTTAAAGCTTTATTGACTTGTTCTGTTGTTGTAATTTGAGTTGTCAGGATGATCCATCTTTATGAACAGAAAAAAATACTAGAAGTATACAGAAGGGCAAGTTTTTTTTCTTAATACCTCATTGTGTTCAGTTTTATCCCTTTCATAAATCTGTTACTGATCTCTATAATAAAATCAGGTACATTAATTTACCTGGCCTCCAGCAGTTTGTTGACTTGAAGTTCTCAGCAATATACTTGTTTTGGTCAAGTGTCTTTTAAACCTTATGTGCAGGTGGCCAATAGGACAACTTAGATGGCTAAGAGCATTAATCACAATTTTGATTTCTTGCCTGTTACAGACTGGAAAGGGACAGCAACTGATGCTGATGGTGACACATCAGTGTGATGCATAAGGGAGCCTTGAATTCTGTACAGCTTAATAGCTCTTTTTTTAAAGACTAATCTCTTAAGGCTACTTACAAAGCAGTGTTTGGGGGAAAGAGGTATGGTTTTCAGTTATTTAATAACAGTAACATTAAAACTATTATTATTGCATAAATTTTCACAGTTGTGCTTTGGAGAACTGGTCTCCACTGGCAAGGTGTTAGAAATTGTTTATGCATAGTAAATGAGCTCATTAACTCAGCAGCAGTATGCTCTGAATCAAACAGCATTATGAATTCTTAGGTGCAGGTACATGTATTTTGATTTTGTGACTGTTAGTGAAGTATTTGAGCACTTTCTGATACTGTATTCAGTAATGATTAATGTCTGCTATATCTGTCTTCTCATCCTAGTGATGAGAAGCATGTGTCTTGAAATTTTAATGGTACATATGCATAAAGAGGAACTTGCTGGAGACAAGTCCTAAAAGATGCACTTGCTTTCATTAAGACATACTGAAGCTGAACGAAAGGCACTATCCATGCTTACTCTAAAGCAAATGCTTTCTATGACTCTGCCTAACAAGGATGTTCTTCTAGGAGAACCATTCCTGATATTGATTGAACCACCTGATAACTACTTTCAAACTAACTGCAGTTGTGTATTCCTGATTATCAGCTCCTTAGGCTAAAGCTTCTAGGGAAAGTGTTGAACAACTACAACCTATACTGGAAGAACATACTGTTTTGAAGGAAACTTTCTCAGCCCTCACCAGATGTACTCTCTCTAATAGTACATGGAACAAGCCCCTTTCCTTGTGAACTGCTCACCAATATCAGCTCAGCTGATGTGTTGCAAGGGATGGTGTACAAAGGAGGGAATTAATGATTGCTGTGTTTAGTATTTAGAAGACTGGTAAATGAGGCTAGTTTCAATCTTTAAAACTTTACTAGACCAGCTTTCATAAACAACACACTTCAAGCTAATGGTTTGTTTTACAATCTGCTAAATGTTACTGTTACTTATTTAAAGTGGCCAGTTCTTAACAGTCATATCTTACAATGAGCTGTAATGATAGAATACCACTGTGGTGATGCTATATAATTGGCATTAATAGCTGCTATCCTTGGTCTCAATCACAGAAGTCAAAGTGAGCAGGCTCAAGAGCTCTTAAATCTGAAAGGGTAGAACTGAAATGGACATCATCTTCCCTGAAATTAAGGAGCTTGTCCTTTTATAATGTGTTTTTGTTTCTGGACAACTCCCATTCCTTGACCTCCGCCCTGGACTATATGCCATGTGATACTTGGAGAGGCGTTACTTTTCCAGGTCATTGGAGGTGCCATAGGAGGTTTGACTTTCTTTTCCTTTCTTTAATTGCTATCACATTTTCTTAAAGCAAAAGAAGTGTTTTCCTAGCTCTTAAAATTGTGTGTCTTCAATGCCTTCTTCCTCAGTGAACTGCTTGTGTTTCAGGGGCCTTCGTTTTCAACCTGTGTCCCTATTTTCAAGGCCTTTGCTGCTGTTCTGTGATTAAACTCTACATCCTAACAGGCTACCTGTGGCATCAAGCTCCTGCTCACATGCCAAGTTCTATCAACAGGCTTAAACATCTAGGACTGGAGCCTTGCACAGTTAGCATACAGCTTACAGCCTGTTACTAGCAATGGCAGTACTATTTTTACTGAATACCAAATGAAAGGCCTCTGCTTTAGGTACAAACTGTTCCCTCAAAAATCACTGTTCTCTGTGTTTACCGTCATCATAGTATAATGTACGTTTAATAAAGTTACCTGGCAGCTGCAGGAACTTACAGCACTGCTGTGCCCCCAGAATGAATTCTTAATCCATAGAAGAAGGAAGGTACCAGTGGGAGAACATTTTTCATCAGAACGTCATCTTCGCTTCTAACCTCACTTGAGTTCTCAAGAGGGACTAATAAAATCTCTTCAAATGACGACCCTTAAAAGTCGTAATTCCCATTACATAGTAAGCAGCATGAACTAAGTAGATCTTTCTGCTTTTACTATGTTATAATTCCCTGTCACTTCTCCAGGCACATAGTCCCTTCCAAGTTTATGTTTAATAAATTATCTTCTATATGCTTCACTCAGTTCCAAAGGAGAGACAGTCACATGGCTCTCACTCTTTTGTCTGTTCTAGAAATGCCAGCTGCTGGATTGTTTTTTTTCCTTTTGGGTTTGGGTTTTTTTTTGTTTGTTTTAATTCAGTCTTAATTGATTAAGATACTCATTAAACCAAGAGTTTTGAAGTCTTCACTTACAGCTTTGAACCTGGAGAAGGGTTTTTGTGTCAGAGCTTTTACAGTTTTTTCAGTTATATTAGTTAGACTGAAAGAAGTTACGGCTTTTTGTTTGTAACCTTATTTCTTGTATATGTTTGAATCACCTTGGCTAATACATTCTTACTGCATTCCTTCTGAATTATTTATTGTGAAACTACTGTGCACTGCATTTAGGATGCCTCCCTGTGCCATGCCATGCCATGCCTTTATGTCCTTGATGTCTCGTGAAGTTGCTGCCCTACTCAGACTGATGTGTCTGCACGCATACATGAACTAATTTGGCTGTAGTGGGTATTCTGTGTTTAAAGGCATGTCTCAAAACTACTATCTGTAGCTAATAATTGATCGGTTCCCCAAACCTGTACAAAATCTAATAGATTGTCTAGCATTGTTTGATTTATTTGCCATAATTGCTTGACTAACTGATGCATCTCTGCTCAAAATCACAACTTGTGTAGTTATCTGCAGACATTATGAAAAATATGAATCTCATTACCATAAAACAAACTTATTAAAGTAGTAATTCTGTTATTTGATTTGAAGCTGTATTGATTTATTTCTATCTTGTGATGTTACTCCTTGTTCTTTGTGTTTTAGCATTTCTCATTTTGAAAAGATGAGTTTTCTCTGCCAAGACTATCTGCTTTCAGTTGGTGGTGACATTGATCTCAATAAACAAGTGTCACCACATATAAATTTTTTGCTATTTTTTGTAATGAAATAATTTTGAACCTTGGACAAAAGTTCTAAAACCTTATAGCCATCTACCTAGAAACTTGTCTTTGGTCAAGTAGACATTTTTGGGTTGATATTACCTGCTATAATTTAGGCGTGAAGGAAGATTATTCTTTTTTTAAGAAATGTCTTCTTTGTATGGCTCGATGGATGGAGATGAATCACTATGTAAACAGTTATCTATCCTAGTGAATATTTTGTCTTTGCTTCCCCTCTCCTTTTCCAGATCCTGGAGTCTCTGTGGATAGTGATGAGTCGCAATGTGAGTCTCTTGTTTACTACAGTTACAACATTAGTGACAATCCTCTTCCATAGCGGGACAGCTCTTCTCAATTTTGTGCTTTCAGTGGTAAGTAGTATGTATGTCATCAGTTTACATGGCCTCTTTTACTGAAGGAACATAATTGCACATGTAACAATGAAAAATCAAATGCAGAGCATTGAAGGTGTCTTCTAACCTTATCTAACACCAAAGTTCTTTAAGATTTTGCAACTTTCAAATCTGTTGTCTGGGGGCTCATTCTAGGCAGAGGACAAGATTTGTGTAGCTTCCACATGAAGGAGCTGGCAGTCTTCCTGTCATTCTGTTTATGGAAAACTCTTGTTTCTGGCCTTGAAGATACTGAGCTGTAACTTGTGATATCCTTCGTAACTACTGAGATTTTTATGGCATGTCCTCTTAAGCATATATTTAAACAAGCCAATGTTTTCAGAAGAAAGAAAAAATTGTTACAAGGAAATGTCAGCAAAAGTATTTATTTCACAAGGATTACCTTACATTCCCTTTTTTTAATGGTCTCCAGCAAATCTGTGTGAGGGGGTTGTTATGTTTTTATTTAACCTCTGTGAGCTCTTAATTGCAGAATGCTTCCTACACAGAGTTAATTCTTATTAATATTATTGTCCACACTGAGTAGTAGTCTGAAACCTTTTTATTAAAAGGTGTTTTCTTTAACCAATGTGTTACTGTTCAGTGAGCTAGATGTTTATAGTTTCTTTTGTTTCGAAATTCCACGGCTGTGTGCAGTAATTTGTAATGGTAGAGGTAACTTCTTTCTTCTAATTTGCTGTGACAGCTGTTACTTAAAATAAAAAACTCCTAAAGCGCAGGCCTGGGACTTTTTCCTGTTTTAACTAAACAAATACTGATTTTGGAAGCTTGACTGAAATTCATGTCTTTGTTTTTAGTTCAGGATTCAAAAACATTTGATAGAAAGAAAAGTACATTACTAATTTAACTTCATTGTATTTATTGATGCTAGCTCAGGAGGAGGTCTTTGTAGGCAAAGCTGCGAAATTGAAATAAGATTTAACAGCATTTCAAGGCAGCTGTGTGGGTTCTCCAGTATTTAAGAAAGAACCGATCACAGTAAGACTTAATGGAGTAGCTGTTTTGAAATGAAGAAAATCACGGCAGCTTGATTTTGTTGTTCTGTAGCTGTCTTTCAGTTAGTAAAGAAAAGATTGCATGGAAATAGTTAATTTCTTTTCTTACTTAGTCCACAACTTCACCCATAATGACACATTGAAAACAGTGTCTGAGGAGTTAGTATACTTAAAAATGACACATTTTTATAATAATTGCAGATTATTTCAGTGCACTCATTGCTCAGACACAGAATTTAGCTCTAGATGCCTAATGGCTTATACACAGTTCATCACATACTGTTGCTGTGATGCACAGTCCTGCCTTTTTTTCTGTCAGCAGAGTCCTGCCACTTGCTGGGGCACTGTGCAGTCAGTTGGTTTACCAGAGCTACGTCAGATATTGCTGCGTTAGAATTCTTTTAAGGATTAGATGACCTAAAGGCTACTCTGTTTCCTCCACTTCTGTTGTAGGTTGGATATGTTACTCAAAATGGTCATATAAATGTTACTTAAATGGTCATATAAAGCTTTCCCCACCAATGGGCAATGAGTGGATTGAGAGCAGCCCCTGTGGAGAAGGACTTGGTGTGGGGGGGTGGGTATTAATGGATGGAAAACTGACTGTGAGTCAGCAATGTGTGCTCCCAGCCCAGAAAACCAGCTGTACCAGGATCATCAAGAGAAGTGTGGCCAGCAGGTTGAAGGAAGTGATTCTCCCCTCTACCCCACTCTAGTGAGATCCCACCTGGAGTGCTGTGTCCAGCTCTGGGGCCCCCAACATAAGAAGGACATGTGGGTCTGGAGGAGGCAATGAAGATGGTCAGGGGACTGGATGATCTTTTAAGTTCCCTTCCAACACAAACCATTCTATGATTCTATGAAAACACATCAGTCCTACACTTTTGGTTTCTTGGATTTGGCTATGAGCTTCCATTTTGCACTCCTAGTGATCTTATAGGAAAGCTTTGTTTTAGTAGATGTGTAAGTTCTTTCTGTAGATTCTTGATAATGGTAGCCTTTGAAATGCAAACAGCAGAACTGATGAAATAGAAATATTTAACTTCTAAGAAATAAGGCAAAAAATCACTGAACAACTTTGTCCTGTTAACTGTACTTCATTACACCAGGGTAAAGGGATATGCTTATCTCCATTTCTATGCACAGAAAATATTGTGTTGGTGTTCTTGTAATTGTATAAACTACCTCTTTTGAAGGCACTTAAAATTTGCATGCGTACCTGAAGACTAGCTATTAATGTTGTTGAACGCTGTGGGAGAGTGCTATAACTTAGTCTTGTGCTGTACGTTTCATAGGCTGTTGTGTCTGTTTGGAGACATGGTTTCTCATATTTATGAAAGTCTTTCGCAAAGGTTCTTGCTCTAAAAACTAAACAGATTTCCTTAAAACACAAAAAGGTAAGTTAATAGACTTGTTTTAATAGAGTTTTGTGTGGGTTTGTTAACAGCTTATGACTGAAAGGACTTAAATTTAGGATATTCAGTAAATAGCCTGCACTAAATAAAGATTAATATAGTCCATTATTTGGGTCAGTAAGTAAATAGACATGCTAGTTGTGTGAGAACTTAGTTGAACCTTAAACTACTCTTTAGGATATCTTAACTGAACTGTCATGGACTCCATGTAGAAACAATATACCCGCTTCTTAATTTTTCCTTATGCTTTTTTTTTTTTTTTTTTTTTTCTTTGCCTGCTGCAACAGCTTAATGCAATAAGGAGATAAAATCCAAATGTGACCCTAGGATAAATCACTGCAGCTTTCTTAACTTTTGTGATGTGCATTTCTACTGAATCCCATTTGGTACTATGTCATTGTTAGATTTACCTGCTATTCACATTCATTCCTTCAGAGCTAAAGAAAAACACCATTTAAGTGAGGAGGAGACAACCAGAACTGACCTTAACAGTTCTTGTTCTTCTGGAGTCTTGAGGCATCCTTACATCTTTCTCTGTAGTAAGAATACTTTTCAGTAATTTGCTTTCTAAGCATGTGTACCTTTAACAACCCAAGCTGAGATTTCAGCATGAGGTCTTTTCTTCTCTCTTTTGTAAAGTCTTGAATTAAGAAGTTCACAGTTTCCTGGGAGAACTCTCACTATTTTCCAGTAAGGAGAAAGAGCTTTTGTATAGAGTTCATTTTGAATGTGAAAACAAATAGTTTCAGAGTTTTTTATTGTTCTGTTTTAGTTTTTGCATCTTTGAGTGCTATTTGACCCAATATCCTTTCCCCATCTTTTTTTTTTTTTTTTTTTTTTCCCTAAAGCTAGGTAGGCAGCATTTGAGCACATTTTGTGTGTTGCTGTGTTCCAGCCAGCGGTGTCAGCTTAAAAAGCTGACTCTCTTGAAAATGGCATGTCTCTGTTTTGACAAAAGATAGACCAAGGGAAGTTTTTTTTCCTAAGGGAATTCTTCTAAATTATGTCTATATAGAGCTGTGTTTAAAAGAAAGCACTACTCCAGCCTTAATTGTACTAGTTTTTTCATTTTGCAGGATTCTTAGTGGCTATAGAAGAGTTTTTACTAGTTCGAAGTGGCACAAACTAATTTAAATTTTCCAAGAAAACAGTTTCTGAAGTGGTTAGCTTTTCAACTGATTACATTTCAGTCCAGTTTTAGTCACTTTGAATAAAAATTAAAATAGTGAATTTTGGTTTGATAAATGGTGTAAAGAATTGTGCTTTAAAACATATAAATAATGGACACTTTGTTTAGAACTTCCATTTTGAAAAATACATCTTCCATCAAATATTCAGTGGGAAGAAATCCACGTAACGTCCATTCACGATCCAGTGAATTTGGATCTCTATTTGGATCCTCAACAGACATTTGAAAACTGATCATTAGTTACAAGAGTGCCACTTCTATTTCACTTCTGAATACAAGTTCCTATCTGCACACACATACACATGTCCTTTGTGTGTGTATATATATGCACACATATATGCTCACATATGCATGTGCACACATACACACGCTGCTCATAATCTCTTACAAAGACCAGAAGGGAAAAGCTCCATTTGTCTGATGGGCATCTACAGTCCTGCAGGGAATATGCAAAGTTTTGATGCTGTAAAAATTAAAAAAACAAGAACAAAGCTTTTGAGCAGAAAATTAAGTATGCAAGGCAGGTACAATTATTTCCCAAATCTGTGGACCTGATGCACAAGCAATTAAGTCATGTGTTTCTTGATATATGTGGAAATGCTGAACTACCATTTTAGCATAGAAAGTTTACCCATAGCTTTTTCCTTGAATTCAGTCTATCCCCCTTCAAACTAGAGTATTTTGGGGCTACAGAACAAATTCTACTGCAAGAAATAGTAATCCATCAATTGTTTAATAATGGAAACATCTTATTATTTTATCTTTGGTGAATCCTCCTCATAGTCCTCAACACGTTCTTGAACTGTTGCTTTGGGAACAATTTAGGTAATGTCTGAAATCTTGAATATCCTGTAAAAGAGACCTGAAAACTTTAAGACTTTAGTTGATACAGGGTAGGACATATCTTTTTTCTGCCAGATATACTATTGAGGCTATTCTACTTGTTTGAAGAGCCAACAAGCCACTTGATAATAAATTACTATGTTCTATGACTACTGCTTCTTTTTGCATTTCTGTACATATTGAGCTAAAGCAAATAGATTAATTGCCCAAAATGCAGACAGTTTAGAGTTCAACTGACTTTTTTATCGTGCTGTAGTTACATGCATCTTGCCTTAACAGAAACTGAGCTATGTCTTGTATCTCTTTTATCAGTTTAACACCATTTTATTTCATTGCTGTTCATCCACAGCTATGGCTTTTACAGTTCAGGTGGGTATGTGTATGTTAGTGTGGTGTTAATCCCTAAGAAATCAAGTTACTTCTGTAAACACTGGGGAAGAACAGCTTTTCCAGTCAGTACAGGTGCTGTGCATGTTGCCACTTGAAATAATTCCCAGCTCGTATTCATGACGTGCCTCAGGTCAGCCCTATATGTTTCTCATACACAGGGAATCAAGCTTTGCCTGTTGCTGCAGTTGTTTGTTCCCTGGCTGCTGTATTCTTTTCAGAAGGTAACATCTTCAGAAGTTAACTGAGGCTGTCCCAATAAAACAAGATCCAGTGGAGCTGTTTTTCATTTCGTTTTTTTGTGGCTGTCAGGATGAGTGGATACTGTACTAAGAGCAACAATGCTGCTTTTTGTGTTGAAAACCACACTGCAAGAAAGATGTGTAGCTGGATCCCAGTGGAAGGAGGACAAATGACCACCTGCATGCCTGCTTCAGTAGAGGGAGTTTTATAACTAAACGAGGAAATATTACAGTAGTTTATGAGGAATGGCAGGCCCAATCAAGGAAAAAATAATGATACTTGCAGCATTACAGAGGATGCTAAAATCTGATTCGAGTTTTAAGATTTGCTCATTTGAAATTCTTACAAAATGTAGCTGATATTGCTACTGGCACTGGATTATTTCCTGTTAAACTGAGGCCTAATTCAGTTGGTTTTGTTTTTTTTTAAATGATCTCAAAATGAATGTAACAGTATGGTGTTTTAGATGTGCTGAAGTAATGGCTTGTTTTAGTAGATAGATTGGTTATCACCCAAGGCGGAAGTTACACGCCTGGGAAGAGGGAATACAGCCTAAATATATATATATGACATTTTGGAAAAGGGGTCACAGTAGACGAACAGCTGAGTGTGACTTCCAAGATAAAGGCTGAGAGGGTGGGGGGAAGCAGTAGTAACATATCACTGAGTAGAAAGGAATTGGGAGCAGAGACAAACAGATGGTATTCTCAAGACTGGCAATGACATACTGCGTGCTGTGCTGTCTGCATATTTTTCTTCTGTGTTCAGAGAGAAGGTGGGAATAGGGCATGAAGTGTCCGAGACTGGATAAAATGCTTGAAAGTAATGAAAGTGAAAGTAATGCTTGAAAGAGGTCAGGCTGTTTGGCTTATCAAAAGATTAAGATGTGCTTTGTTCTAGCATATGAGTAGCTTAGAAATAAGGAGAGTGAAAGAATTCTTTTTAGTCTTGTGAAGAAAGAAAAAAAACCTGAGGCTTGCAGTTGAAGCAAATACAAGCCATAGTTTACCATTGGAGAATACAGAATGGATTTTCCTTGTCTGAGGTATTCTCTTTCAAGCTGGACACATTTATGTGATGTATGCTTAGCCCAAGAATTGTTGAGCTCCATAACAGGAAAATAAGGAAAACACAATGGACTTCAACGTGTCGGAAGTTAATAGAATATGATTGTATTTTCTTGGTCCTTAAACTGAAACAATGAACTGCCATCACTTCTGCTGAGAGTCATCTTTAAACTCACAGGAGTATAGTCAGGATTGTCAGCCTAATAAATACTATAAATGTTCTGTTTGTGAGTTTTAGTTTAATTCATATCTAATATCCAGCTGCATAATGACTCTTGAGACAACTTGGATTTATTTAGCTGTATGTTTTTATTAAGAGTAGATGGTACTATTCAACAATTCTTTGATCTGTGAAACATGCTGGAAACAAACTAAAAAAGCCCAACTGGAATGTTGCTTTAGATCAAAATTCTAGTTTCATCTAGATGTGACTTCAGGAAGAGGCTGATCAGGACTAAAAGTTTTATAATGGTTACCTATAACTGTTAAGTCCTTTGTGGAGTAGAGGAGAATATTCTTCTAGCTCTGTGTATTTCCCTAAATCCAAGTTGTGGAAGAGTATTTTGTGTCTTTCAAATTAAGTACAGTGTCTGAGGCATAGCTGCATACTGTAGTTCTGGAAAGTATTTATTGCCTTTTAATTTAAAACTCCAATTCATTTTGCAGGTGATTTTTCTGACCACGCTGTTCTACCTGTTGAGTTCCAGTGATGAGTACTACAAGCCAGTAAAGTGGGTGATAAGCCTGACACCTTTGTCTCAGCCGGGTCCATCCTCAAATATAGTTGGTCAATCTGTGGAGGAAGCAATAAGGTATGTTGTTGATTTCTTAGCCCTTCTGGAAAATTCTATTTTTAAACTTGATGCTCAACTACAAATATTTAGCAATTGCAACACCTCCTGTTTCAAAGACGACTTCCAAATCTCAAAGACTTTCAAGAACCTAGTAGTGATGACTTTTCCTTCTGGATTGCTAAAAGAACAATTTGATTGGACTTGTCTAAAAAAAAATTTAAAGGCCTGTGCTGTAGTGAATACTAGTATTTTATAAAACTGATACACCCTTATCTCTAACCCATGAGGAATTAGTGTGTCTGCAGATGGTTTCTGTAGCTCAAGAAATCTCTTAAGCTGAAGCTGTTCTCTATCAAGCACCAAAACAAATCAAGACCTTTTTCCATTGCAGTTTCTCTGATTGGAGCTATGTTGTGATTTTTATTGTCCAGGCAAGAAGTAGCTATAGATTTCATAAATAATTTTTTAATTCCTTTGCCAAGACAGTGACAGTTCTTTGTTCATGTGGATTGATCTGTGAGCTGTATTGGGGTGAAAACAGCTTTCCAGCCAATTTTTGAGCCAAGTGTTGAATCTGACTGTTTCTGTCACAGTATCTCAGATGTTAAATTTGCACTCGAGTAGTGGGAGAAAAAACGGTGCATCTGTGGTGACACTGCAAGACTTCTTTAAAAGAAGTTGAAGGGAATCCAGGAGTTACCTGCTGCAGGCCATGGGATGAAATGCTCTCCCAGCCTTTGATAGGAAATCTGGTTGTCCAGGACAGAAGGGAGACAAGATGCCAGCAGGAGGTATGAGGTGCTGGGAACCAGCAGGCATTTGCCAAGGGCAAGTCATGCCGTGCCTAACCCCAGAGACTGCTTGGCTGGTGGCGTGGTACAAGGGTAGAGCCATGAATACAGAAGTTCGCTCGGAGGCACACGAAGGGCAAGGTGACATCACCAAACATCCAGCACAGCTTCACTAAGGACAGGTTGTGCCAGGACCAACCCGAGTCTTGCTTGGAGGAGGTGACTGTTGTAGTGGGACAAGGAGAGAGCAATGACTGCCATTCACTCTGAATTCAGCAAGGCCCGTGACACAACCTCCCATGGTATCCAGATGGGTGAGCGGTGGACAAGGTGGCAGTACCCGGTGGGAGGACCACTGTCTTGTGCTCAGCAGGACAAATCCCAGCCATGGGGCTCGTGGTGATGTGCCTCAGGTCAGTGTTGGTGGGGCTCTTGCTGGCGACCGTCTGAAGTTAAGGACCTGGGTGGCAGTGGGGCAGGCCATCTTCCACAAGGTTGTGGGTGTCCCTTGCCATTTGGGTAAGGCAGGAGCTCAATGGAAGCCAGACCCTCTTCTCCCCTCTCCCTCAGGGCTCGGTACAGAAGAGATGGCACCCCTTCAGTAGGGGCGGTGCTGGGGAATGGGAAAGAAGGAGCCGCACAACCTTTGACCGTCAACCAAAGCACTGCGTATTGGTGGGAGATGTTGCAGGGGAGCCTGTGGGAAGTCCACAGAGTTTCTTCTCGGTTAAACAAGATTTTCCCCTTGTGAACCTGTGTTGGCTGTAACCAGTGACAACACTGTCTCAGATGTTTTTCAGTAACTCCCAGACACACTTCCATAATGTTACATGGCACTGCAGTGAGACCGATAATTTGGAAACAAGACATTCCTAGGGTTCAACGCCTTTCTTATGGTAATTTTACTCCATTGAAAAAACTAGTATCAGGTTACTGATGTTATAGCTTAAAAAAACCTCAGAAGGTAAGGCACTGCCAAAGCACGAAGGTGGGCACAGAAGCGGAAAGTTTCCAAGAAAGAGCCTCCTACCAGAAGGCAGAGGCCAGGAGGGGTGACAGGAGTGCAGATGCAGTTGCCAAAGTGCCCAATAATAGAGCATGGAAGCATTTTTATTCTTTTGTTTATTGTTTTTGTTTATTGAGGTGGATCCACCTCCATGGACTCCACGCTGTCCTTTGATCCACTGTTATGCGCGGGCAGCTGGTGGGGAGCCGGTGGACTCACCTCCATGGGCTCCACACCAATGTCTGGTGCACTGCTGCCCCTGGGCCTCACAGCACTTCTCAGCAGATAGTCATGGTGGGGCCCCGTGCTGTTCCCCCGTGTGTCCACAGCTGTCTGCTGGACAGCGCTGGTTGCATGAGAGTGGTCACTGGTTCTCATGTCACGACGGGTAGTGTTGTTCCTCCATTTCCTCCTCCTCCTCCTCCGCTGACTTTCCTCCTTCAGGCTCCAGGGACGTGCCTTCCTCTTTGCCCGTGGTGGCAGTAACCTTCTCTTTGCTTTTGCATGCAAAGGTGGGCAGGCACCCGCGTCACTGCTCTGGATGCTCCCTGGCAGGCAGACACGCTTGGGCTCCGGGCTCTTCTCCCGTGGGTCTGCAGGCAGGCGCCTCTTGCGGTCAGTCCGAGGAGCAAGGTCATTCACCACTGTGGCACCAGACGTGACGTTCCTCCTCCACTGATTGCCCTCCTGATTCAGGCTGCTGGGAGGTGTCTTCCCCTTTGCCCGTAATGGCGGTACCCTTCTCTCTGCTGTCACTGATGAAGGTGGGCAGGCACCCGCGTCACTGCTCTGGATGCTCCCTGGCAGGCAGACACGCTTGGGCTCCGGGCTCTTCTCCCGTGGGTCTGCAGGCAGGCGCCTCTTGCGGTCAGTCCGAGGAGCAAGGTCATTCACCCCTGTGGCACCAGACGTGATGTTCCTCCTCCACTGATTGCCCTCCTGATTCAGGCTGCTGGGAGGTGTCTTCCCCTTTGCCCGTAATGGCGGTACCCTTCTCTCTGCTGTCACTGATGAAGGTGGGCAGGCACCCGCGTCACTGCTCTGGATGCTCCCTGGCAGGCAGACACGCTTGGGCTCCGGGCTCTTCTCCCGTGGGTCTGCAGGCAGGCGCCTCTTGCGGTCAGTCCGAGGAGCAAGGTCATTCACCCCTGTGGCACCAGACGTGATGTTCCTCCTCCACTGATTGCCCTCCTGATTCAGGCTGCTGGGAGGTGTCTTCCCCTTTGCCCGTAATGGCGGTACCCTTCTCTCTGCTGTCACTGATGAAGGTGGGCAGGCACCCGCGTCACTGCTCTGGATGCTCCCTGGCAGGCAGACACGCTTGGGCTCCGGGCTCTTCTCCCGTGGGTCTGCAGGCAGGCGCCTCTTGCGGTCAGTCCGAGGAGCAAGGTCATTCACCCCTGTGGCACCAGACGTGATGTTCCTCCTCCACTGATTGCCCTCCTGATTCAGGCTGCTGGGAGGTGTCTTCCCCTTTGCCCGTAATGGCGGTACCCTTCTCTCTGCTGTCACTGATGAAGGTGGGCAGGCACCCGCGTCACTGCTCTGGATGCTCCCTGGCAGGCAGACACGCTTGGGCTCCGGGCTCTTCTCCCGTGGGTCTGCAGGCAGGCGCCTCTTGCGGTCAGTCCGAGGAGCAAGGTCATTCACCCCTGTGGCACCAGACGTGATGTTCCTCCTCCACTGATTGCCCTCCTGATTCAGGCTGCTGGGAGGTGTCTTCCCCTTTGCCCGTAATGGCGGTACCCTTCTCTCTGCTGTCACTGATGAAGGTGGGCAGGCACCCGCGTCACTGCTCTGGATGCTCCCTGGCAGGCAGACACGCTTGGGCTCCGGGCTCTTCTCCCGTGGGTCTGCAGGCAGGCGCCTCTTGCGGTCAGTCCGAGGAGCAAGGTCATTCACCCCTGTGGCACCAGACGTGATGTTCCTCCTCCACTGATTGCCCTCCTGATTCAGGCTGCTGGGAGGTGTCTTCCCCTTTGCCCGTAATGGCGGTACCCTTCTCTCTGCTGTCACTGATGAAGGTGGGCAGGCACCCGCGTCACTGCTCTGGATGCTCCCTGGCAGGCAGACACGTTTGGGCTCCGGGCTCTTCTCCCGTGGGTCTGCAGGCAGGCGCCTCTTGCGGACAGTCCGAGGAGCAAGGTCATTCACGCCCATAGCACTAGGGGTGATGTTCCTCCTCCTCCTCCTCCGCTGATTGCCCTCCTGATTCAAGCTGCTGTGAGGTGTCTTCCTGTTTGCCGGTGGTGGGAATGATCTCTGTGCTGTCCCACGCCAAGGTAGGCAGCCACCAGCCTCGATGCTCCCGCTCCTCTTCCTTCCAGGTATGCCTGGCTTCTGAGCGCCTGGAAACTCGGCAACCTGTGGGCCAGCTGCAGGGTCCCTTTTTTTATAGGGCTGGAACAAAAGGCTGTGACATCACCAGGCCATTGTGATGTCGATTTTGACGGTGGCCAATGGGTGTGTCCAACTGGCAGGTTTGGGCGTTGTGGGCCTGTGGTCTGAGAGATGCCCAAATGTGGGAGAAGGAGAGTCGCAGGGGCTGAGGGTCCTTCTCCTGGGGCTCACTCCCGCCTGCCATGATGCTTGTCCAAGAGAAAGACTGCCTCTTGGGCACAGGGACTGCCCTCCTCCACGTCCCCTCGTAAGCCCTGGGCTCCAGCTCCTCATCCCGTGCCAGGGTTCCCCTCAATGAGACGGTGGCAACCATGTTCTGGGAGGGTCGGGGGTCCTCAGCAACCCTTCACCGAGCCAATGCCCTGTAAGTGGCACAGTCCCATGTGCTTGGCAGTGGCTGAGAGGGGGCAAATTATGAAGACATCCGACCAGCGGGGAAATGAGATCCAGCCGGCCTGTGCAAGGTCTGACAGCTCTCTGTAGAGAACTGCTGATTGCCACTTGTTGCATGGACTCTTCTTCCCCGTTCCCTGGCTCTGCTCTGGAGCGTGGAGAGGTGCCATTTCATGTATGCCGAGCTCTGATGGAGAAGGGGACAAGAGGGCCTGATGTCCTTTGAGCTGCTGTGCCGGGACAATGTAAGGAGCCTGCTGGAGGCCACTGAGGGAGGACCCTGTGGAAGGCAGGACAGGTTATGTTCAAAGACCCGCAGAAGCACAAAGGTTGGGAGAGGCACTTGGAGGTCTCCAGTCCAAGCTCCTTCTCAGAGCAGCTCCAGTTGCATCCCTTTGCTTGGGTCTTAGTTCAGCCATGTTTAGATG